AAACAATATTTTCTTCTCGGACGTACGTACTGGTTAACAAAAATGCTTTGTTCTTGAACCTTATTCATTCTATATAAATTGATATAACTTCGTCCAAAACAAAAAAAAAAACACTTAAAATTCAATCAAACTTCATGTTTAGTAAAAATATAATCTTCAGAGTTCAGACTAGAGATGAAAACGTGACAAAAGTAAAATTTATCATACAATTTTTATTAGATAAAGTTGTATGCATCAAAGTTAGTAATTCACATCAATTGATCATATTTTTTTGATATATATCGCGATTAAACTAAAAAGGAAATAAAATAATATATTTTATTATTTCAAGTTCTATTTCAAGGTAAATTAAAGTTTGGTTCGATTTACTAAAAAAAATCACTCTTGGAAGCATCATACATTGTTCAGTAGTTACTTTATATACTACTAGCTTCAAAATCTATCTTCCTCTCCACAAACTGATCACATCTATCTTTTAGAAATCATGGATCAACTTGAGATTGAAAGTGTTGTTACGAAAATGAGAAAGAACAAGGTATTTCATTCATTCTTTTTGCATTCTTTTAATTAACTGTTTTTTTTTTCTCTTTGTATATTCAGAATATTCTTTCAATTAACTGTTTTTTTTTTTCTCTCTTTGCAGATCTCCTTGGGAAAGAAGATGTCTTCCGAATGGAAGCCTAAGGCAAACATCATTGATTCTCCTTTTCAATCAATATGGTGGCTATAGGTTCACAGACTATTTTCTAGAAACTTCTCAGCATAAACGATAAGGATGGTCCAACACTCATATTGATGGTCTCCTACACCCACAACAAAGCTTCTTTGATGACGAAGTTTCTGCGCAAACCATCAAAGTTCATTTACATGAGAACCTTCACCAACAAGACAGCTGCTCGCTCTACAGCAAATACAGCACTGCGCTCTCTGTGGTGCCATGATTAAACACAAAAATCTCAAAACATATTTCTGTTTTGGAAAAAGCTGCTTTTTTATTGTTAAAAACAAAACTCGTACAAAAAAAATCATTCTTAGACAAATGTTATTCAATTTTTCTACAGCTACGACTAGGAGATCATTTGATCATGAATATTTGCTTGTTGCAGCAACCATATGAAAGTTTTGAACCGAACAACCAAGGATGCAGGTTCTTTAAGAGTAAGTGGTCTGCTCTATCTGATGCTGACAAATTAAATATTATGCTCGCCATGGGAGATGGTTATGCCTACCACATTTTGCAAAGTTACATAAAATACTGCTCCATAAGAATATTGAGAAAATGTTTTTCCCCTGGTCTAAGGACCCCGGAGGCATTTTTGTTAGATGATGAGAGACTGTTGCTCCTAATTTCAATCTACGACTTCCTGAGGACATGCCATTAACTTCATCTTCCTCTCAGATTATGATACATGTATGTATAAATGTTATTTATGTTTTGTTTTTTTTTTGTATCTGTACTTATTATTTTGTTTTTGTTTAAATTAGTTTTTGGAAGACATGGATTTCGCCGCGATGACATCAACGGTGAGGCTATCAAGCGTGGGGGCTTGGAAGGCCCGGTTTGGTGATGATGTGTCAACATTTTATTTGTTCAATTTTTAGATGATGTGTCAACATTTTATTTGTTCAATTTTTTTTTATTTTTAAAAATTATTTTTATTTTTCAGTTATATTGATAAAAAAATTGTTTAGAAACTCAAAATAAGACTTATGGTTGGAGCTGCTCTCACCGAGGTTATGAAACGTGTGAAGGATGAGTGAACGTGAGAGGAGTTATCGATTTTTCAGAAAGCATTAGAAAGCATGATAAGCACTTCTCTCAGATACGCAAGACTCACACACCTCACCAACAAAGAGTTTCATATTCAACAAGAGAAACAACTACTATATGAAATTTGAAACGTGTGAAATGGTGTAATTTTCTGTAGATGTGAATTAAATGTTACTTGTTATTAAAGTTTCCTATTTTCCAATTTTATGTGGTTGTTCTGCCTCATTAGGTAGAGAAAAATGATTTGCTTTTGATTAAAATCAGAAGTTTCTGGTTAAATTCGATGTTGAGGGAATCAATTTGAACAAAAAGAAAACGATTACCATAGTTATTAGGACTCTGCACTGATTAGGGTTTTTTGCTCAAGTCATGTGCTCTTTTCCTTCTGAGTTTCTAGTGAAAGACATGAAAATTATGATTTATTACAGTTGTGCTATTGATATTATCTTATTCCTAAGCAAAAAATTAACTTCAAGAAGGACTTTAAAATCTGCAAGGAAGAGGAGGAGGATGCTGCGGAGAGTTAAGGTGGATTAAGAGCCACCAGAAACACTTCCATTGAAAATCTCAATAGTATCGCCGTGCTCAACACGGTGCCACCGGAATGACCTTTCATCGTCCATTACGTTCTGTTTGTATATAAAGAAATAGCCTTCTTGAGGCAGACTTAACTGAAACGTCTCTTGAATCTTAACCAGCTCTTTCCTCAGCTCTCCAACGTTATCACCGGCGTTTACATCCACCGGAATCTTCCTTGTCCCGCATTTCGGTAGCACCATTACTCTCAGCTTCTTCGGGATGTTGCTGTTGTTCTTGTTGTTGCTTCTCGCCATCGTCACAGGCGGATCTTGACCGTAAAGCATCTGTTCTGTTGGGTTTAAGGGTGGAGATTGCTCGGTTGTGAGCACTTGACTGTTGTGGTTTTGATCGTTACCAGGAGAAGCGATGTAAAGCTGGAGACGTGAGTTGTGGAGGATCTCACATTGTTCGATGTCGAGATGGTCTTGAAGAACCTTGCCTTGGAAGAAAAGAGTTTGTTTGGAAACAGGGATACGTTGGTACTTCTCTATCTTTTGTTTGATCTCTGACACTGTGTCCCAGTAACCCAGTTCAATGCAGAACGTTGAGCCACTTTGAGTCTCGAAGAACACAGCCATAATGATAACTTAGAGAAAGAGTTTTGGAAAATTTTGATTTAACTTTATTCATCACAAACGTCTATCTTATAGCTCAAACCAAAACTTAAGTTTATCCTAATTATAGTTGATATACATTATATCTAACCAAAATATATATATATATATATATATATATATATCCTAATCTTATTAGAACTACAATACAAGGTTCTAGATCCTCTTTAACACATGGTGTTTTAAGATCAATGGAGACTAATGAAGAAAATAGTGAGGTTTATGTCCGAATGTAATTTGGATAGAGTGTATGCGTGTGATTAGGACTAATGTGTGCATATATGATTACAATTTCTCGAAAGTCTTACTCATATAAATTAAAATAATATGTACATATATATGATTACAATCATAACAGCTTCAATAAGTTGTACTAACAAACTTTATAAGAATCTCTTAAAATTTCATCAAAAAGACAAAAAACTAAAAAAAAAAAAAGTTCCCAATGCAATGTGTTCACTTTACGTAATCTGATTCCTTTCTTCTCCATACACTTCAAGAACTATTCACTTTTCTTCTTCATACATAATCTCTACACTCCAAACTTTCCTCCTCAAAAATCATCAGATCAAAACCAAAGCACAAAAATGACACCGGACCGGTCAACTATCCCGATCCGGGTCAGTCCCGGGGCTCAAACCAAACCCATGAAGCGTCACCATTCGGCTAGCTACTACGCTCACCGGGTCAAAGAAAGTCTCTCGACCCGAATATCTAAGTTCATCTGCGCAATGTTTCTCTTGGTTCTCTTCTTCGTAGGCATCATTGCTTTCATACTCTGGCTCAGCTTACGCCCTCATCGACCTCGGTTCCATATCCAAGATTTCGTGGTCCAAGGTCTAGACCAGCCTACCGGATTCGAGAACGCAAGAATTGCTTTCAACGTAACCATACTTAACCCAAACCAACACATGGGTGTTTACTTCGATTCCATGGACGGTTTCATTTACTACAAAGATCAACGGGTCGGGTCAAGCCCGTTGCTAAACCCGTTTTATCAGCAACCGACTAACACAACGATTGTGACCGGGACGCTTACCGGAGCTTCGTTAACGGTAAATAGTAACCGTTGGACCGACTTTAGTAATGATCGGGCTCAAGGCACGGTGGAGTTTATGCTTGATATAGTTTCGGATATTCGGTTTAAACTGTCTAGGTGGATCAGTAAGCACCATAGGATGCATGCTAATTGCAAAATCGTGGTTGGACGGGACGGTTTGATCTTGTCTAAGTTTAACCATAAACGGTGTCCTGTCTACTTCACTTAGATTGGTTGATTTGATTTGTTGTTTGCTGTTTTCTGTTTTGTATTTTACTTTTCATTTTGATTGATTCTGCTTTCTTTAGGTTTTGTAATTTGGATTTGGGAGTTTGTTTTTTTTTTCTCATCAAATGTATGATCTTTTGAGTTGTTAAATATATAAGAAAACATAAACTAAAGATTTGGTAAAAGTAAAAAAAAAAAAAATAGCATCAGATGTTCTAAGAGAACAAACACTTGGCGTACATGATAACTTGATGAGCTAAAATGCAAACAGAACTCGGATTTTGAAGGGATAAATTCGCAACGAGACTCACCGTTATGTGGAGAAATACTAACAATCACGGATTCAGTTGATTCATCTGAGCAACACACATAAATTTCTGAGAAGAATCTTCGCAAAGTAGTCACCATAGTAAACCCTAATAGCGATGGAGAAGAAGCTGAAGAATGATGTTACCGACACGAAAAAGAAATAGCTCAAACAGTCAAACTCAAAGCTTGGAACTTTTTTTTCTTTAACAAAATGTAATATTCTAATCGCAAACAATTTTGAAACGATGAATATCAATACATAATAATGTAAGATTCTCAAATCCTTTGACCAAACATGATTTTTTAATCAAGATCATGATGTCAATGACAACAACACATATCTTGCAAATCTCTGACAAAACATTTTAGTTTCATTTTCTGACATAGTCTTACCAATGGAGAACGAGGCTTCAAATCAATGATCTGATCAAACAATCATAGTTATCAACGACTCCAGAATTTATAATCATAGAAATTAGACTTTGACCATCAATTCCGATAAACTTCAACGAATATTAAGAAAGCTCATTGAAATAGAGCAATACAAAACAGAGCAATAACAAACAAACAAAAACCATGTCTTCTTGTTTCAGATCCTCTGTTTCTCTGGTCTCAGTTTTCTTCTTTATGATCTTAAACACAGTTTCTTCTGCAACAGATCCAACTTATCTCTTCCACATATGTCCAAACACAACAACATTCAGAAGAAACAGTACTTACTTAACCAATCTCCGAACTGTTCTCTCATCTCTCTCCTCTCCAAACGCAGCTTATGCCTCGCATTTCGATAACGCAACCGCTGGTGAAGATGATAACACGAGAGTCTACGGCGTTTTCCTCTGCCGTGGAGACGTCTCAGCTGAAATTTGCCGTGATTGCGTCTCCTTTGCGGCCAACGAAACGCTCCAAAGGTGTCCGGGAGAGAAAGAGACAGTAATCTGGTACGATGAGTGTATGGTTAGATACTCTAATCGAAGCATCGTAGGGAAAATGAGTGTTACACCTGCTGCTTTCTTGTGGAACACGCAAAACATCACAGAGAATCAAGTTAACAAATTCAACGAGTCGTTAGCTTCGTTGTTGATCAACGCTGCGGTGAAAGCGGCTTCGAGCTCGAGAAAGTTTGCTACAGAGAAAGCAAATCTCACGGTGTTTCAAACGATTTATAGCCTTGTCCAGTGCACGCCAGATTTGACGAATCAAGATTGTGAGAGCTGTTTGAGACAAACGATTAATTGGTTGCCGAGATGTTGTGATCGACGAATTGGCGGGAGAGTCATCGCTGCGAGTTGTAGCTTTAGGTATGAGCTTTATCCGTTTTACAATGAAACTATTTCTGCGGTTGCGGCGGCTCCTCCTCCTCTTCTTTCACCCACGGTGGCTGCACCACCACTGAAGCTTCCTTCAGAAAAAGGTGAAATCTTGAAACTTACTTGAAACACAAATCTTGAAGAAAGTTTTTTTGATAATCTCAAAAACAGAATCTTCGTTTAACAGATTTAATCTTTAGAATCTAAGTAACACAAATCTTCTCCAAGATATCCTTCTTGATGAACATAGAAGCAGAATATTGTAAAAGGTTGTTACGTTTTATATGTTTTTTGAAATTTTGTTCAGGAAAAGGCAAGAGCTCGACGGTTTTAGTAACCGCGGTCGTTGTGCCGGTTTCTGTCTGCGTGTTACTTCTTGGTGCTGCGTGTTGTTTACTGGACAGAAGAAAAAGGAATAAGCTCAGTGCTGAATCAGAGGATCTAGGTTAGGATTGAGCCAATCTTGTCATTTGCTAGTCTAATTAATATATTGAAAGTTTCTTGAGATTTCCTTTCTTACTATTTTGATGTAGATGAAGATACTATTACATCAACAGAAACATTACAATTCCAGTTTAGCACAATCGAAGCAGCCACAGATAAGTTCTCAGAAAGTAACAAGCTTGGTCAGGGTGGATTTGGTGAAGTTTACAAGGTACTTAATTCTTGTGATCATACATACTTGTACTGAATTAACGCAATCGAAGCAGCCACAGATAAGTTCTCAGAAAGTAACAAGCTTGGTCATAGTGGATTTGGCGAAGTTTACAAGGTACTTAACAAGCTTTGTGTAAACTCCTTCAGGGTCAGCTTATAACAGGAGAAACAGTAGCGATAAAGAGACTATCTCGAGGATCAACACAAGGAGCTGAAGAATTCAAGAACGAAGTTGACGTGGTCGCTAAGCTACAACATAGGAATCTTGCTAAGCTCTTGGGATATTGCTTAGATGGAGAAGAGAAAATACTTGTCTACGAGTTTGTTCCTAACAAAAGCCTCGATTATTTCCTTTTCGGTACAACAAATCATCACTCATTTCCTCTAGTAAAACATAGTTTTTGCGTTTACTTGTTAAACCTGATTGTCTTTTTGTTTGTAGATAGTGAGAAGAGAGGGCTTTTGGATTGGCATATAAGGTACAAGATCATCGAAGGGATAGCTCGAGGAATACTTTATTTACATCGAGATTCTAGGCTAACGATCATTCACCGTGACCTTAAAGCAAGCAACATACTCTTAGATGCAGACATGAATCCAAAGATCTCAGATTTCGGTATGGCAAGGATCTTTGGTGTTGATCAAACTCAAGCTAATACACAAAGAATAGTTGGTACATAGTAAGTTGTTTCTTCTGCTTGTGATTCGACTCTGCATTCAATTTCTCAATCAAATCTTTTGACTAAACAAGTTCTCTCTCTAGTGGTTATATGTCTCCAGAGTATGCAATCCACGGAAAATACTCGGTGAAATCTGATGTTTATAGCTTCGGAGTCTTGGTTCTTGAACTTGTAACTGGCAAAAAGAATAGTAGCTTCTATGAAGAAGATGGTCTTGGAGATTTAGTCACATATGTGAGTACATATATATCAGTCTTACCACTGTTTTCAATAACAATATTTTAGTGAAAGCATAAACCCTGCAGGTGTGGAAGTTATGGGTTGAGAATTCACCATTGGAGTTAGTGGATCAAACAATGAGAGGGAATTTTCAGACAAATGAAGTGATCAGATGCATTCACATTGCTCTGTTATGCGTTCAAGATGATTCTTCAGAGAGACCTTCAATGGATAACATTCTTGTGATGATGAACAGCTTCACTGTTACTCTACCGATTCCAAAGCGATTTGGGTTTCTTCGAACCATGAGAGACTCTAGAGATCAACAAAGATCAGGAGCTTCTGCATCTGATCAATCTGTAACAAGCAAGTCTTTGCCTTTGTCTGTTGATGATTCTTCCGTCACTATCGTGTACCCTCGTTGACTTCTTCTGTGTACTTAGTGCTTGTAAGTAGAGTTTAGATCTTGAATAATCTTTGTAATAAAACTAATGTGAAATAGTACAAGAAGTGTGTTATGTCCTATATGACAATATGTAGCTTCTGCATTTGGTCACATAACCAATAAAAACTGTAGGCCAATCTCTCATACAACATTGCTTAGATAGCAAGCTGCTTCCACAATCGAATGGAAAGCAAAACATCCCGAAACAAATCTTCATATGAACGATACATATAGAAAAACTATGTCGAAACCACAATCAGAAATTACAAACCTCTAAAACAATTGCTTTTGTTATACAGATGAGTGAAAACTCAACCACCAGTCTTTTAACCATAACTTAGGCGAGAGTCAATGAGTTTTGTGGAAGTTTGCCTTCGAGGTATCCCAATCTCACATGCGTTGACTCTGGCAGCAAAGCGAAGAGAGCAAAGGGATTCTCCAGTTGAAGATGGATCAGGTGATATGTTCACAAACATTAACGTCTTTGAGTCCCCTCCTAAGCAAGGCTGTTCAAAAATAATGATTCTCGATTATTAGAATGATCCTGATAGTCTCTATGATTCTCTATGAACATAATGACTATCAATCGCGAGTAAGGATTCTCTCGACATAAGATACAAAGCCACGACAAACTTTTTTGGTTCCGAATATACAGACAAAAACTAACCTGGAGCAGATATGTCAACTTTGAGTTTCTGAAAGGAACGTGATCCTCTTTCTTTGCCAATGCAAATATAACATCACTCAAAGCAGACAAGCTTTTGTTTATAGCCTGTGTGTGAAGAAAAGAACAAAGATTAGAGGCTAAGTGCAAAACTTCCATGTGAATAGCTAAGGGAGAGTATTAAATTTAAAGCAAAAAACCTGTGTCTCCTTTAACCGCTCTCCTGTTGCCCCACTCCTTGAGAGTCGCTCACTTCCAGCAAGATCAATAAGGTTAAGAACACCTTGTACCTGTTGTTCAGTGCTCTGAAATAGAAGATAGTGTTGATGTTTAAGAAAAGATTTTAAAGTGTAGAATAAAATCTATATTACAGAAGAAAAAAGAACAACCCGAAAGGCAAAAAGAAAGCAACCTCATTCACACCAGAAATCCTTAGAGTGAACACGAAATGACTCCTTGATGACTGCTCGTTCATATGAGTCTTACCAACAGACCTGCAAAATAAGAGTTGACCATTGCTTTATATTTGTAAATTGTTGTAACAGTACAATGCAGAGATAATAACAGTTAATACAAAAACTTGCATGTAAGATAAACAGAACAGATCCCAAAATTCAGGACAAGACAAACCTGCTCTGCCCAGCCTGCTGCAAGAGTGAGGAGATTTGTCCAATGCTGCACACATCTATGATTGTCAAGTCACTAACATGAGTGTTTCCATTAACATCATGTGTGATTGCATACTGTCTTCCAGAGTTGCTACTGTCCCCTCGCACAGACTCAATAGAAATTGTTCTGTTCGTAGTAAGCAAGTCCCTGATGGACTCATTGTAGATCTCCAACATTGAAACCTACAAATAAAAGCTTAAATAAATTCAATGCTACCATTGCATTAAACAAAATGTTGGAACATTATGGGGAGAAATATATACCTGCATCTTGTATTTCCAGCCTTGTGCACTAAGAGACTGACTGGTTTTGAAAATCTGTTCAAGCGATCGAGGAATCAGTCCTTTCTGTTCTGGAGCTTCGGGCCTTCCCATCATGGTGTAGGTTTTGCCAGAACCTGTCTGACCGTATGCAAAAATACATACCTGTGTCCACAAAGATTTAAGAAAGGTGCAGTGACAAAGGAATCAGTCTTAAATAGACTGAACAACTACATGAGCATTAAGCACATTAACCATGATTCAAATAGATTTTCGTATCAAACATCTACAAGATAGTCAAAATAAGAAAGATAATAGACCTTATAGCCATCCAATGCGCTCTGAACAAGTTGAGATATTTCAAAGAATACTTCCTCCTGAGAAGCTCCGTGGTCGAAGACCTTGTCAAATGTGAACGGATGTTTGTTCCCTAAGAACACAATTAGAGCAAAAGGGAGGAAACCCGAATTAATGTCTAGGACGGGCATGATTATCCTAATTGAGCAATGTAAATAAGGTGAGTCACTGAATATATACCACTTTGGACCACATCAATGCCTCTCCCAAGAGATTCAGCTGCAGTGGGATAGGCTATAACGCTGGCCTCTTGGCGTCCTCCATCATCTGGTAGCAAGGGGCGCACTCGGCAGAAGACACGTATGTTTCCTTTTAGTTCCTGAAATAAAAGCTTTGCTCAGCGCACGTAAAGAACGCAGCTGGAGCTTAAAATGTTGCCAAAAGGATATTTTCTTACAAGAATTGTGTTATGAAGCTTCTTCCGTAACACCTCTCCTTCAAAGAGTTGATGCTCCGTGTCTGCAAGGCGGTCTTGCAGTTCTTGCGTACGTTGTTTTTGCTCCTCAAATTCTGTCATAGTATGAGACATAGATGCATCTACCATCTGTAGAAAGCAAATACAAAACATATCAGTGTAAAGCAACAATCAGAGTATCTAACATTCGGCAGATCACCAGTACAAAGTATACTTGGCTACTTGCTCACACCATTACCTTTAACTTTTCTTTAGCAAAAGCTAATTCCTGCTCCAACATTTTAATACGTTCTTTTTGCAAGGAACATGTTTCCTGCAGCATAAGATTGGTACTGTAAGGCAACTGAATATAAGACAAAGTGGCAAAAAGTTATACACTAAACTAACCTCCAACGATCCTGATTTTGCTATCAAAATGTCCAATTCATGAGATGACTTTCCAACACTCTCCTTATACTTTAGAATTTCATCAGCCAGCTTTTGTGACTGTACAACATGGCGATCACGATCATCCCTGACTTGTTGGAGCTCACTTCGAAGGTTCTTGACTTCCATCAGCAGTGACTCCTTTTGTTTTACTGCTTCATCTTGTGAAACCTTGATCACAGAAGAAACAAATTAACAAACAATGAAATGAATATCAAACTAAGGAATGCAAGAATCACGTCTGTGGTATGTGAGGGATACTTACTCGGCTCGATGCTAGTTGGTCTTGTAGTGATTTGCTGTGACCCCTTAGTGTAGTAAGGTTCTCCAGTATGCTTGACTTTTCTTTTTCAGCACGTGTGTGTGCCTCTCGAACTGCTTCAAGATCAGTCTGGAGTTTGGTGTTATATTGTTGCAAACTTGTGTTGTACTCTTGCAGCCTTGTGTTAATATCTTTAACAGTGATCTCCTATAGACAACAAAACAACCCATTTAACACACCAACTAGAAGATTATCCAAGAGTTAATAGGAGTCACATAGAATGAAACACCTAAACACAATGGCGGATAAGAAAATCTGTTGTACCTTCTGCTTGGCAGCCATTATCTCTTCATTCGCTTTGTCAAGCTTTTCTCTAAGAGAATCCTGAAGCTTTTCAGCTGCAGCTCTACATTCCTTTTCTCTTCTGTGGTTTTCAATTGCATCCTGGTCATCAAAATCAATAAAGAGAAACCAAACTTGATAAAAGATTCTTTGGGAGATAAGCTGCTTAATGAAAAAAAAAGATTCTTTTTAGCTCCTTACCAACTTACTCAACTCCTCCTTTGAGAACTTCTCCTGTAGCGCCGCTAACTTCTCCTTCATCTCAGCTATCTTTGCTTGTAGCTCCTCCTCTTTGCTCTTTGCATCCAACTCTACAAGTAATTAGGAACCACGTCCATATTCAGTGTATACAACAAATTGATGTCAAAACAGAACATGCAGGAAGCTAAATCACCTTTATCACTGTATCTTTTCTCAGCAGATTCCAGAGAAGAACGAAGATTTTCCTTCTCCTGGACATGGGTTTCGTCGACTTGCTGGAACCATCTAACACAAACCTTAAGCTTCTTGATAATATCAGTCATTTGCTCAATCTTAGCCTGTAGTACCCCAAGGAAACAAATAAGAAATTATTTGATCAGTGAAACGGAAAGATAATCTCCCAGAAAGAAACAAGTGGATCTCGATTTTACAAACCTTAGTATCAAATTTTCCAGCTTTTGCTCTCTCGTTAAGCAAAGCCACGACTTCATCTTTTGTAAATTCAACCTTACTACACTCCTCTATGCTGCCCACGTCGCTGTTGGAAGTAACATCTTGTCTGTTCACAGTCGAAAGCACTTGTCTTCTTCCAGTACCTTGCGTTTCCATTTTCCTCCGCTTGTCAAATGGAATACTAGAGAGAGCTTCCTTTTTCTGAAAATTCTGAAAATGGTTCAGAAACACACACACAAACACACAAAAAAACATGTTCAAAATTAAGTAAAGCAACAGACTTTTTTCAATTTCTTAAGAGAACCCAAATATCCAAAATAGCAAAATTGCAAGAACCCACAATCACCCTTAATGTGAAATTTGAAAAGACGTTGAAGATCGCTTAATAATTAATCTTTATGGATTTTGACAGTGTAATCGTCTCTCTTAGGTTTTCGTCACTAACCCATCTAAATCTCAACTACGAGAAACTCAAAGGTGTGAAATTTAGTGGAAGAAGAAGAGCGAAAGGGGAAAAAAAAAAGGCTTACGGCGTTTGGACTGCGTGGAGCGCGATTCTGGTTACGAAGCGGCATCTTCGAGAAACAACAAAGAAAAAGACTTCTCTTTCGGTGGATCCCTTCACCCACTTCCCGTCAAGAGGATCCAAATTTTCGATCTGAGCTAGGCGAAGGAGATTCACTGAGGATTGAGCCCAAATAAAGAAGATTTTCCCAGAAACCTCCGATTGAATTGACAAGAATCCGGGAGAAATTTAAGACCTTATTCCTCCTTATCAATTCGAGATTGGAAATTAGGGTTCGTCTTTTTTGAAATTGGGGATTTATGTTTTTTTGGAAGGAGGAAGAGGAGGAGCCTATTTGAAAATTTGAAAATAGATCTGGCGGAGTCTTGGCAAATTGTACCGTTACTCTCTCGATACTAATGTAATAATAATTCCACCATTTTTGAAAATAATTGTAAAAAGTATAGGCTCCATATGGGCCTATTGACTTAAACTGTGGCCCATTAATTTTAAACTAGTCCATATTTTCCTGATTTGTTTTTTAACATCATTTTTTTTTAATTATTTCTAGGAATTTAGAACCGGGAAGATAGTCCAATCCGGTTTAGGCAATTATATATAGGAAAAAATATTGACACTTTAAAAATTTTGTTGTTTCAGTTCAGATTAATCAACACAATAATAACTCATAAGTCTCTTCATAGCTTGACACATCAGCATTTTTAAGTTTTTAGGAATGACACTTTAGCAAAAAAAAAAACACCAATAAAAACATTTCATTAATACAAGTCATCAATTTATTTTAACTTTTAAATTTAAACTCATTAAAAACTCAAATATTTTTTATTGTTAATTTTAATTTATTTTTTTGGTCAAGCTCAAACCCAAATAATAAATAACAGCAAATAAAAAAAAATTTATTTTTTTAACAAACCCAAATAATAAATAACAACAAATAATAAAATTAAATTTTTGTTTTATATTTTTGCTAAACCAAAACTTAAATAATAAATAACAGCAAAAAAATTAGAATTTCTAACTATGTGTTTGCTTGATAGAGACGTATATGATTGAAGAAAGTATAGACTCATCATCAACTATGTTTCCATAATAACAATACAAAAAACGTCATGTTATAAGAAGTTCACACAGCAGCAAAAATTTGAACCAATAAAAACATAACAATAATACATATTATTAACACACTAATAAAATCAATTTACTATTTTGCTGATCCATTAAAAAGCCCAAAGTTTACAAAAAAAATGAAGGCGAAAGCAAATGAGGAGAAACTCAGACCACAACAGCTTGGAGATTCGCATTTCTACTGGTTACCAAGAACAAATTTTCTTGGGTTTGGTGGAAATAGAGAATTTCTTGGTTTTGATAGAAAAATGTGATTTTCAGTTTTAGTAGGAAAACATAGTTTCTCGGTATGGTGGAAAAAAGCGAATTCTCGGGTTTGGTGGCAAAATGTGAATTTTTGGCTTTAGTGAGAAATAAAAAATTTGATTTTGACGAGAAAATGCCAGGAAAATGCAACTTTTCAATTTTGACAAAAAATACGATTTCTCGGTTTTGATAGAAAATACATTTTTTGGCTTTTGATGGATAGTGTAGTTTCTTGATTTTTGCAAAAAATTGTAATTTGACAATTTTGGTAGAAAATGCAATTTCTGAGGTTGATAGAAAAACAAAATTTCTTGATTTTGGCGGGAATAAATTTTTTTTTGATTTTAATGGAAAATGCAAATTTTCAGTTTTTGACATATAATTTGATTTTTGGTTTTCGAGGGAAAATATGATTTTTTAGTTTTCGTGGGAAACATAATTTCTCAGGAGATACTGCAATTTTCGGTTTTTGTTGAAAATTATAGTTTATCGGTTTTGGTAGGAATGCGTGATTCTTGATTTGACGAGAAAAAATAATTTTTTCTTGTTTTGGTGGGAATAGACGATTTCTCAATTTTTGCGGGAAAATATTTTTTTGGTTTTGACGGAAAAAATACTATTTTTTGTTTTTGCACGAAGATGAAATTCTTTGGTTTTGGTGAAAAAACTTGTTTTCTCTGTTTTGACGGAAAAACACAGATTCTCACAGGAAAATGTGCTTTTTTTAGTTTTTGAGAGAAATTACAATTTTTTTGTTTTGGTAGGAAAATAAAATTTTCAGGTTTGACGAGAAAATGATTTTTTTTTTTTGTTTTGGCGGGAATAGACGATTTCTCAGTTTCGTGGGAAATAATTTTTTTTGTTTTGTCGGAAAATGCAATTTCTCGGTTTTTATAAAAAGATAAAATTTCTCTATGCTAAATTTACAAGTTATAATATGTTTATAGTAACTAAAATTGATTTATTTAACTTCAATTAAATTGATATTTCAACAGTTCAAATAGAACTTTCTATTTAGTTCTAAAGTAATAGTAATAATTTTGATATGAATGTTATTAATTACAGTTTGGTTGTTTTAGAAACATATGTCTATAATAAATATTTGATAAATAAATAAATTTTATAATTTAAAATAATCATATTAATTAATATTTTTTTTAAATGCCAATTTGCTTTATATAATTTCAAAGGAGGATCAAATAGCAATTTAGTAGAGAAAATAAATTATATCTACTATTAGCTTAAAGGTATTTAAAAATGTATTATTTTATTATTACATATACATTTATAGATAGTTAGCTAAACAAATTTGATAGTAAATTATAATTTTAAAAAATAAAAAAATTAATGATATATAATGTTTATTCAGATTTAAAACATATAAATACATAACTTAAGCTAATAAAAAATAAATATAATACTCATTTAAAATGTATAAATAATTTTATTATATTAAAAATATATACAAATTTAAAAAAATATTATGCAGTGTAGCGCGGATAAATACTTAGTTTTTCTAGCAAAATTTCGTAGACTAATATTCTTCGCACCTTATTTTGGTTTGGTTTAATTTGGTCAGTTCGGTTTGTAAGCCGATTTTCAATCTGGTTTGTTTAGGTTGAACCAAATTGGTCAACCTCCACGGTATGCTGCCACGTGAAAATCGCTTTCCGGCCACACTCGATCTCAATCCTATGTGGCCAAACTGAGAATCAAGATAACACGTGTCAATGTATTAGTGGCTAAAATTATATCCGAGTTATCTAAAGAACAACATGAATCAGATAAGGTGCTCTTTGTCACATAACCAAAACACCAAAAATTATAACTCAAACGAAATCTCCTCTAATCAATTTACTCAAAACCAAAAACAAAATGGCTCAAGCAGTGACTTCGATGGCAGGGTTACGTGGCGCATCTCAGGCCGTTCTTGAAGGAAGTCTCCAGATCAACAGCTCAAACCGTCTGAACATCTCCAGAGTCACTGTTGGGTCTCAGAGAACCGGACTTGTGATCAGGGCTCAGCAGAACGAATCTGTACCGGAAAGTAGTCGCCGGTCAGTGATTGGACTCGTGGCGGCTGGTTTAGCCGGTGGTTCGTTCGTTAAGTCTGCTTTCGCCGAAGCTCTTTCGATTAAAGTTGGTCCTCCTCCACCTCTTTCCGGTGGTCTCCGTAAGTAAAACAGATTTAATCAAATTTCACATTATTGATTAGTATAATCCTCCTTTTTTGTTTAGTTAAGTAATTAAATGCTGGTGTTGAGTCTGTTCGGTATTACCGTATTAGGTTTTTGTGTAAGAAGAAGATAAACCAAATTTTGTGTGGACATATCTGGTGTAGCTTCGGTTTTGGTTTGGTGTTTTTGGTTTTGTAATTTGACTCTAGAGATTGATCTGACTGAATGTGGTTTTGATTTGTATGTGTGAGAACAGCTGGAACCGATAACTCAGACCAAGCAAGAGATTTTTCATTGGCGTTGAAAAACAGATTTTACTTGCAGCCATTGCCACCAACTGAAGCTGCAGCTAGGGCCAAAGAATCTGCTAAAGAGATCATTAACGTTAAGTCATTGATCGACAAAAAAGCTTGGCCTTACGTTCAAAACGATCTCCGTTTAAGAGCATCGTACCTCCGTTATGATCTTAACACCGTTATCTCCGCTAAGCCTAAGGAAGAGAAACAGAGCCTCAAAGAACTCACCGGCAAGCTCTTCCAAACCATCGACAATGTAAGTCTTTCTTTAGGTTTCTTTAGGTTTCTTGGTGCAGAAGTAAGAGGCATGTTTTTAGGTTTGTTTGGATTGATCCGAGATTTTTGTTGTCCTGGTTTTTGTGTGTGGAAGCTGGACTATGCGGCAAGGTCAAAGAGTAGCTCGGATGCTGAGAAGTATTACTCAGAGACTGTCTCGAGTTTGAACAATGTTCTTGCCAAGATCGGTTAAAGAAGCAAGAATTGCTTTGTAATGCATCGTTGTTGATGATGCTATTATTATTATTATCCAAGTACTCTGTCTTTTTCCTCCTCCTTCTGTCTGATCAAAACTAGTATTTCTAATTTCAAGTTTTAGCCAAGAATCCCTGTTTTTCTTGAATTTAAAATATTGAATTGAAACCAATACTTGGTACTTTTTTTATAACAAACCGAGAACCAGTATACTCTTATCTATAATGTCTAACAAAAACTGTATGACTCTAGGTCGTAGCTTGTATCGAGTTTGCTAATAATTAAATACTATAGTCTAAATAAAAAAAATTATATATACAAGTATGGTTCTTGACATCTTGTATGAGTGACAAATTGAGTAATTGACCATACGGTAAATTATAAATAAATTTATGGAAAAGAAAATTACGGTACAACGATGTATAAAGGGAAGAATTCTCAGAAGAGAGGGGCGTTAAAATAAAATGGGAGAAGAAGAGAAAAACCCTAATTCAACGGAGATACTACTTCCCGATCTAGTGGAAGAAATCATCTTTCGACTGCCCTTGAACTCAATCCTCAAATGCAGAAGCCTCTCAAAGGAATGGAAATCAATTCTGGAATCAAGAAGGTTCGTGGAGAAGCACAAGAGTCTTCAAAAGAATCGGAAAATCCTCGCTGCTTTCCACTGCGACTGTGGTAAGCGGCCGAGACTCCTCCCTGGGTCACAGTTCGAAGGAGACGAAGAGATTGTGTATCTTCACTGTGACGTTACACGACCGTCGATGACTTGTGACGGTTTGGTTTGCTTCCTTGAGCAAGATTGGATCATCGTTTTAAACCCATCGACCGGACAACTCCGGAGATTATCTTCCGGGCTAAACCCTAACCATGAGTGTACATTTGGGTTCGGTAAGTAATCTTATATTAGAGAAGGATTTGTTTTTTTTTTTTTATCAGAGATTGATAAAAATTGAAACTTTTCTTTCAGGATTATGGTCGAGTTTCTTTCCGGATAAATGGGTCATGGGATTCGGTAGAGACAAAGTCATAGGGAGGTTTAAAGTAGTGAGGATGTGTTTTTCTTACAGGGGGGACATTGGTCAAAAGGATCCTGTGGTGGAATGTAGGGTTCTTGATGTTCAAACTGGTGAATGGAGGAAACTAAGAGGACGACCTCCTTATGTGGTCAATGCGAGTAGTAAATCGGTATATTTGAATGGATCTATCTACTGGTTGCACATTAATAGGGCACATGTTGACAAACGTTTCAAGATACTAGCATTGGATCTTCACTCACAAGAGTTCCACAATGTCTCGATTCCGGCTATATGGGTCACGTGGGATACGCAGATAGTGAACCTCGAGGACCGTCTAGCCATAGCCAGAACGAAAATTGGGCCGAGGCGGTCTACTTGGAGACTAGAGATATGGAGCATGGATACACGTCAAGAACAATGGAGCAACACTTACTCCATAAGTTTAGCCAGTCTAAGTTTTAAATCATGGGAGCGGAATTGGTTCACGCTCGTGGCGGTTTCTAAGCAAGGAAACCTTGTCTTGAATGACAATCACAAGCGGCTGTTCAAATATTATCCAGTGACAAATAAGATTATTTGTCTCTCCGAAGACACTTGTGGTATAACTACTTACTTTGAAACTTTGGTCCCTCTTCCTATAAAACCAAGCCATCCGCTTCCTGATCCGGTAAAGTCTGATTCTAAAATCTGTCGCTTGTTGTCCAAGGAGCCAGGATCTTGGATACTTAAAGTTTTGCAAAGGAATGACTTTAGGATCCTTGAAATTTTATTTGCAACTCTAGTAGTAGCTGGTTACATTGTGTCACCTCTTTAGGAGTTAATTATCTGGTATCAAACTATTACAGTACTTGGTTCCCTCTACTTCTAAAATCTTATGATATTGATTTTGCTTTCAATTACCACATAAGTGGATTTATGTATGCATTCTCTGTTTCAGTGCCGTCTTATTTATACCGTTGACCAGTATATACACTCGTTCTGAAAATTCCGGGACGGATACCTGCTTTCTTGCCGTACTCATTTTAAATTTCCCGTTCCGTTCCCTTTTTCGTTTAAGAAAATTTCTATTCAGGATCATTTATTTTATTCAAACGGATAAAAAAAAGAAAATCTGATCGAAAACCCGAATTTCTGTTTAAAAAATTAATATTTCAAAAATTTACATAATTTTCTAAATTTTGTTGAATTCTACCGATAATTTTCTAAAAATTTTCAAATTTTTCCAAAATATATATCTTTACGTTGAGAGTTTGGGATTCCCGTTCTCATCCCATATCCACAGATTTCCGTTCTGTACCCGCAGTTTCCCATTTTACTTTTTGTCGGATTTCCTTATGGGAATAATTTCTCAATTCTCAAATTTTCTGTTCCCGTCCCGTATCCGTAAATTTCCTTCCCGAATCCCAAAATTTTCAGGGCTAATATACAGACACGATTATTAGTTCGCTGGCCTTTCGGTTTTTTCAACTTTTTCTACATAAAAAATTTCTTCAACTTATCCAATTTATGCAACTGTGAATATATAATTTTGTATTTTAAAAATAAACCAGAATTTCTCAGTTTTGAGTCTGTGTTTTTAGCCCTAACACCACTATTTGTACAAGTGGGCATTCGGATTACCGGATAGGATCGGATATTTCAGATTTTGAATATTTTATAACTATAGTTTTTTGTACCGATCAGGTATTGTTATATTTTGGATCGGATTCGGTTCAGATCCACTTGGGTTTGGATACTATTTTTTTGAATCTGATTATTTTGGATTCGGTTCGGATTCAAATATTTTTATCTAAAAATTAATCCAATATAACCAAAAATCTAATATGAAAATTCAAAAATAACTAAAATATTATTAATTTTAAAGCAAACTAAATATTTAAAATTTTAAAACATTAATAAATATTCAAATTCTTACTTCAAATTAGCACCAAGAGATATAAATACAAATTATATAAACAGAAATACTAAGAGAATTTAGAAAATCAGATATTTTCGGATTATTTTTTGAATATCAGACCTAGTCCAGATATTACCGGATATCCGAAAGCCAGTAACAATTACACCCAATCAGATACTATGAAAGATTCGTATCAGCTCAGACCAGAAATTTTTGGATCAGATGTGGATGGAATTTGCGGATCGAGATAAAATACCTAACCCTAACTACTTGCTAAAAAAACAATAATAAGTGGGTTTCTAATGTTTTGACAGATTTATTTATTTTTCAACTTTTTAAAATAAAAAAATGCTTCAATTTTCCAATTTATTTATGCAATTGTGTATATATAAGGAAAATGAATGTCAGATACACGAAGTAGACGCCATCACATGACTATACATGCAAAAAATATTAATATATTCAAAATTATACAAACTATATAGTTAACATGATAACATGTATGAACTAAATGGTGTTATATAACTAACACCACAACCATCTTTTCATCAGAACAATATATTCAAAATTACACGAATTATTTTTGCAAAAAAAAATTACACAAACTATATTTATAATGGTAATAATTTATATATATATATATATTATAGTATATCTAATCTCTAAAATTTACATATTATAAATGAATCATTTCTTTAAATTATAATATAATATGTGAAAAATAATATTTATATAAAATTAAAAATTAAATTGATTATCAATAGTCAATAATTTGTATGTTATATATTTATGTGCTTTTATAATATCTTGTTAATTTATCAGCTATATTTTAGTATGTAAGTTTGTATATATATTAAAAATCATTTTATCTGAACTATGTATAGTAAATTATTTATATATTAGCAAATGTTTTTAGTTGCCAAATTTTTCACTTAAAGTTATTATAATTGTTTTCATTAAACAGCTTATAGGTTGTTTTTTAGTATATTTAACAACATTATATTTTCAAGTTATAATTTTTATTCATTAATTATGTATATATATGTATATATTACATCATAAACTATTTTTGTTTTTTTCTTATGAAAAGTTATTTTACATCATAAAAAACTAGAAATAAATGATATTTAAATTTAAGTTATAGGAAAACGAAAATCAAAATCAATTTAAGCTTAAACCAAAATCAATTAAATTTGTATTTTTCAAGTTAACAATATAATGATACAAATTTTATATAAGGATTTCTTTTCAAGCTTTAGAAATATATTGATTTTACTATACATAGTACGAACAAAATTATTTTTAATATATATACAAAACTTACATACTAAAATATAGCCAATAAATTATAAAATATTTTAAAAGCACATAAATCTACAATATACAAATTATTAACTATTGATAATCAATTTAATTTTTTATAACTATAATTTTTAAATATTATATTTTAATTTTTAAAATTGATTCATTGATAACATGTAAATGTCAGGGATTAAATTTATATAAATTATTATCATTATAAATATAGTTTGTGTAGTTTTTTGTCAAAATAATTTGTATAATTTTGAATACATTATTCTAGTAATGGGAAAAATGGTTGTGATGTTAGGTTTGATTTAAATGTCTAAGTGGTTAATTGTTTGATGCATCATGAGAAAGTAAAAAGTTAAGCTGAACCATGTTTGGATTGCTAAATTTGATTCTTTCATTCTCATACTGAAACCATTTGTTCATTGACAATCAACTCTATATATTTGAACATGACATTATTTAGTTCATACAGATTGTTATATTAATCATATAGTTCGCGTAGTTTTGAATATATTAATATTTTCTGTACAATCATTTTCTCAATATATAACTTCTTAGGTTAAGAATAAACCAGAATTTTCTCAATTAAGACTTAAGAGTATACTCTTCCATTGCTGACAAAAAAAAAAAAAAAAAAGAGTATACTCTTCCATTAACTCCGAGTTTTTAGCCTAGTCACACCACTACGTAGTATACACTTGCTAAGTTGCTAGGCGTATTATAAAATTTATAACAACTAACATATTTATTATAACAATAATAAAAGAAAAACAAAATTGAAAAAATAAAGAAAAGGCAATAAACGCGCGAAACCTGAAACCCGGCCCAGAAAATCCCTTCTCTTCATCAGGTTCTCATCATTTTTTTTCAAATGCACGGTAGTAACATGTTTTGTAATGGGCTAAAAATATCTAATTTACGGCCCATCAAGAGCGAAGTGATACTTTTACCCCAGAGACAGAGTCGTAGCGAATTCAAAAACACACACAGAACACAGCTTCTCTCTTCATCGCGCCAACACACACAGAACACAGCTTCTCTGTTCATCGAGCAATTTGAAAAAAAAACGCAGAGAAAGACGCGTTTTCTTCTGCAATTCGTCCTCTTCTTCAAGGTATGTGTTCGATTCCAGATCTATTCTTCTTCCGCCGTTTCTGAGAACCGATTGGATTTGAAATAGTAGCTTCTTCTACTTGTGTGTAGAATTTGAAATTTCAAATCTCTGAAGATCTCGATCGCTAATGTAGGTATATTTTCTAAGAAGAATCGATCGATATGAATGGAAACGATGAGGTATTACAGATCGATTCCATTTCTTCCGATTAACTTTGATTCTTCTGGTTTTTGCTTGAAGAACAACAATCTCTGAGTTGTTTGATTCAGATTTTTTTTGTTTCTTCGTAACAGAACATCAATGGTGGCGATAATGCTGTAAGTTCTCATGGATTGGTTTTTTCATTCGTTTATAAACATTGATTCGTCTTCCTTCTCTAACTTTTGCTTAGAAGAACAACAATCGTGTGCCTGTGATTTGGTTTGATCTTTTTTTTTAACCGAAGATCAATATCGTCGATAATCCTGTAAACATCAATTTTTTGGTTGATCCTGTTCTTGTGAGTGTTATTATATGCAAAGATCGATTCCTCTGATTTTATCTTGCTTCTTCTGAATTTTGCTTTTCAAATGTGTGCGTTGTTTGATTTGGATTTGTTTATTTTTTCTTTCTTAACAGAACATCAACGTTGTCGCTGGTCTAGTGAGTGTTCTTATTTACTGACTTCATTACCTGATTTTTCTGGTTTTTGCTTGAAGAACAACAATCTCTGCGTTGTTTGATTCAGAATTGATATGCTTTTTCATAACAGAACATCGATGGTGTTGATAATGCTGTGATCAATGGTGCTGCTAATGCTGTGAGTGTTCTTATTCTCTTAACTTCACTACTTGATTCTTCTGGATTTTTCATAACAGAACATCAATGTTGTTGCTTGTCTTGGGAGTGTTCTTTTTTTTCTAACTTCATTACTTGAAGAACAACAATCTCTGCTTTGTTTGAGTCAGATTTGATATGCGTTTTCATAACAGAACATCTTAGGTGTTGATAATGCTGTGATCAATGGTGTTGATAATGCTGTGATCAATGGTGCTGATAATGCTGTGATCAATGCTGATGAAAATCCTGTGATCAATGGTGATGAAAATCCTGTGAGTGTTCTTATTCTCTTAACTTCACTACTTGATTCTTCTGAAATTTGTTTGTTTTCTCATAACAGAACATCAATGTTGTTGCTGGTCTTGTGAGTGATCTTATTTTCATTACTTGAAGAACAGCAATCTCTGCGTTGTTTGATTCAGATTTGATATGATTTTTCATAACAGAACATCGATGGTGTTGATAATGCTGTGATCGGTGATGATGAAAATCCTGTGAGTGTTCTTATTCTCTTAACTTCTGAAGATGGTGATTCTTCTGGTTTTTGCTTCAATTGTATGCGTTGTTTGATTTGGATTTGTTTGTTTTTTCACAGCAGAATATCGATGGTGCTGAAGTCGTTGAACCTGAAACATTTGGGCAATTTGTCATCAGAAATTGCATAAGTAAAGACTGATGATTAGAACATTGCTTTTGTTTTATTTGTAGTTTTTATCATTTTTAGAAACATACAATTTATAGGTAAACTCGTTTGGTTTGGTATTTTTTTTTTAAAGCAGATTTGACTCGTGCAATTTGGAGGAACAGAGAGATAATTGGTGTGGCTATTGCAATCGGAACTGTAAGCAGAGTGGATGTCACAGTCGCAAGGGCAGCTTATAGATTCACCATCTTCAGAAGGCCGAGGTGAGTGAAAATATAAAATTCACAAGATAATAATACACAACTTTTAAGAAAATACATTACTATTGGAGTTTTAACTCAAAATGTGGAGTTTTATCTAGCTTCATCGTAATTGACATTTAAACAAGTACTTATACTATTAGTTTTGAGTCTTTTAACTATCTAAAAAATACTGTTGGTTTTGGATTTATATTCCACTAAATCCAAATCCTAGTGTTATGAAGAAACTGAAATAATCACACCAGACATGAAATGACGGAAGTCTTTTCTTAAGAGATATTTAAAGCGAAATGCAAAAAAGGGAATAAAGTTCACCCTTTTGATAAGTTTTTTTCTGTATTTTTCTTAAAACAAAACTACTAAAACCAATAGCAGTTTAATCTACTGGAATTCATCAGGAATCTTTATACATTAAAAAAAAAAAACTTGATTACAGATTAAAAATGTTGTAAAAAAATTGTTTGTCATATAAAACTCTTTTGGAATTTTTAATTTAATAACCACATTCTATGGTGTTATCGGTGTTCGGGAACGATGGAAACCACTCTCTCAATTTCATCGTTTCTGGAATGTCGTTGTACTCCATGCAAACCCGATTCATCGTATCGACTCGAGATAATTTGTTATAAATAAATTTATTTGACTAAACTGTGTTACAAAAAATAGATAGAACGAAAATAATATGATTCTTAACCCTATTAAAAATTCAATTGTAATATTAAAATGTACGAACGTAATTGCTAATTAATTAATTCTAGCTTAATTTCGAATTAATCTGGGGCTAAAAGCAAAAACAGAAATCCATAAATGAGAGGTTGAAACGTGAAATAAACTATAAACGTTATACATATAAAAACGTTTTTTTTTTCCAAACAACAATTTTGTATAGAAAGTAGAAACTTGAAAACCCAAAAATTTGCTCTCTAATCTCTTTGTTTCTCTTCGTCTTTACAGTTTCCGCCGGCGTTTATACATCTTAAGTTTTTTTTCTCAAATGGTTCGTTTCTGGAGATCATGTTTGTTGGGTTAATTAGTTTTTACTCTCTCAGTCAATTATATACTTGTTGTATATCCTAAATAGTTATGTTTTCACTACAAGATCTTGGACACATATCAGTCGTTTTAACTTTGAATTCATTATTCTCAAAATCTTGTACCATATGCTTAGGCATATCTTTGACTTCTTGAGGAACACAAGCTTTCGAGTGCTTCCTAAGACCTGCGAGGCTGCTAGCTTATGGGCTTGCCTCTTCAGTTTAGATAAGCTATGTTATTTTTATTTTTTTCTAAGTATATGTTATATTATTAATCAACTTGAGATTACATCTCTATATTGGATATCATATAGAAATCTGGATAAGTGGATATGATCCGGAAAACACATACAATAAAAACACATAAGTGAGTTCACAATATATATCTTACTTGGATTTTTTTATTTTTATTTTTTGTTCAAAAAAAAAAATTGTATATCTATCTAATTACTTTTATTTTTATTTCGTCATACAAAAAGAAAGAATCCCACAAATTTCAGTTTCGTTCTTTTGATACCTAATACGTCATGTATATATATTTAGCATATATAATCTAAATCAATCTCCGCATTCTAACTCCGACGCGCATGGTTGAATCAAACCATCATCGCTTCCTGCAACATTTAAATCTACGAACTAATTGGGGGGAGAAAAGCGAGTATTTAGTCAAACTGCATTAATAAATGACAAAAAATGACGGACAATATTAAAAATTTTGTCTGTATAACGAACCAAATATTTTGAAATTGATTTTAAAGATAATAAATATAAATGTAATTAGGTCAAAGCGAGAACACTTAAACCATTAACACTTTTTGTAAGTTTTTCTTTTCTCCTATTCGCTTCATGCACTTTTTATAAGTTTTCTTCCCACTCCACGATATATTCTTAACTAAAATCAGGTTTTAATATAAAAGATATATAATGATTTTTTAAATATTTTAGGATATAACGACGAATGGATTACCATGCATGGTCGTGTCGTGTGATTGTCATGTCCTAAAAGTCAAATAAACAAGTTGTATATGAGCTTAAGGTTAAACATCTTATGGCTTGACCAGAATTTTGCTTCTTAAAAATTCAATTAAACGGAAGTCACACCCAAATTGACTTTGATCTTTTGAAAGAAACATAACACACCAAATTTTATAAAGATAAAACTCTTTAAACTCTACATATCAAAAAAATTGCTGAGATAAAATAATAAAAGGATTTGTAGTTAGTTAGAAGAACCAAGTCAAAAATTTGTGATTAACTTATAAAATAAAGTCTCACTGTAAGTCTGTAACAGACAAGTAGTTAGAGATTGGTTTAGGGAATATATAGATGTGCGACTATTATATACTTATAATAATATAATATGAGATTAGATAAGTTAACCAAAAATTTCAGTTAATTAATAGTGGAGTTGTGGTTAAGGAGTCAAATCAGATGACATAAGCATACATATATAAAAAGAAGATCTGGGAACATTTCCAAAGTAGAAATGAAGACAAACCCTAAATCCCAAGAGAATTCGATTGGGTGGTATGACTTAATCCACACAAATCGTACGTTATCTATTAACTAATCTTATTACTTGAATGTCAACATTTGACTTATTAATATATACTCATTGATTTGGAATATTGAATTTTTACTTTTTGCTACATTTGTTAACACCTAACCAAACTGTTCTCAGCTGAATTTTAAAACTTCGAAAATTCATTTTTCTCTTCACAAAAGAAAACAGTTATTGTCAAATTAATTACGTTCAATATCTAAGTATACATATGAAGAACACAACATATATATATATATATATATCTTTAATTCAAATCGGTATATTTCTCTAGTATATTGTAATTAACTTGTGCACATAATCTTTTTATATAAAGTGGAACAAACTCATATAGAACCTCAAGGAAAAGAAAATATAATTACCTAACCAGTTTTAAAAAGGCAGCATTTTACTAAAATCCAAATATATATTCTCCTTTTTTGCTTAATCCATTTTCTTCAAAAATAAATATTTCCATATCCTTCCAAAAAAAGTAGATGTTAATTCGTGCATTTATTAAACAATAAAACTCGTTAAACGTGGACTTTGGTTTACGTTTATTCTATATACATCAACGACCAAATATATAATAATTCTGGTTTTTCTGAAAATAAATATTTTCATTTGTGAGTGTATGTACGTATGATTTACCCGGTCTAATATTCTTACATTTCAAATAAGATCTTTTTTTTTTTGTTACCACACATATTTTGCAAGGCAAAAACATTTTTTATGAACAAAACAGATACATATATATATATATATATATATATATATATATATTCATATAACTAAACGTAAACACGAACATATGAATACTTCCAATAAGATACGTTTGTTTCCATTGTCACCAATAGTTAACATATATATGGTTAAGATATTAATTAATAATGATAATATTCCATGCCTACCTATAAATACAATATGTAACCAACATGTCTCATGCAACGTCTAACATTTGCAAAGTAAACAAAATCAAACTTATAATTAAGAACATGACGGGAGAGTTTGAGATCACCAGAATTTCTACCGGAACTTGGTGGAGTTCGCCAACAAACTCCACCGCCGCCCTATTCTCCGGCTACTCGCTCCAACGTCCCACTGAGATTAGCATCGACATCACAGATTTCGGATGGCAAAACTTCGATAACAAGATTAACGACCGTAATGATGACTTAATGAACATGTAAGTCCACATGTATACATACATATATATATATATTGATATTAGTAATATTAGTCTTTCTTTGATCTCTTCATTTATTTTATGTTTCTTGAAGGCATAATAGTTTCTTCGACGGATTATTCGATCCTAACGAGCAAATGCTATCGGATTCTTGGCCAAAAACTACAATTCCGGACGCGAAATCCGAGCTTCTCGAAAGCTTTTCATTCTTAGATAACACGTTCTTGATCGATTCGGAAGCTGAATCTTTCTTGGATCATGAGATCAGAAACCACAAGTCTAAGGAGCAAATTACACAAGACAGCAATAATCTTACTTCAAAGGCACGTAACTACGAATACCAATCAATTCAAGTATTTTTGTTTAATTAAATATTAGAGTTAAACTAACAAAAAATAAGACGTTGCGACTTTTTCAGAAGAATGAAGAAATGGAAGAGAACAACGATGAATATTCACCACGATTACTAAAAAGGTCAAGAATCGATACATTATCTCCATTGCCAAGCTTCAAAGTTCGTAAAGAAAAACTCGGTGATCGAATCACTGCGCTTCAGCAACTGGTTTCACCATTTGGCAAGGTAAAAACTAAAAGAATTTTATGAATTGATGACTTATATATTCATATGTAAACTCAAAAGAATCATATATAATTTATTTGCAGACAGATACGGCTTCTGTTCTCAACGAAGCTGTAGAGTACATTAAATTTCTTCAAGAACAAGTCACTGTAAGTTTCTGATTCTTGTTTTATCATTTGCTGTCATAAGAAATCAATTAATTAAATAATGATTTGTTAATTTAATAGATGCTAAGTAATCCAGACCAGAACACCATAGGATCTGTTCAGCGACAGCAGGTACTTAAAATTAGTTACATGTAACAACTCTCTTTTTTGTCATTTTGCTGTGATCTCAGAATCTTTTTCAAAACTAATCATTACCATTTAATGATTCTTGTATTGATTAAAATAGTTTCCAGACAAGAAATCTATTAATACTCAAGAAGAGGAAGAATGTAGTTCAAGAAGACACGTGGATCTCGCGAGCCGTGGGCTATGTCTGATGCCGATCTCAGCTTCATATCCGGTGGCTGCAGCCTCGGCTTCGGCTGCAGAGATGAACACATCTGATTTCTGGAATCTTCCATTCGGTGTAAACTTATAAATTAGACCGATACATATAACAAAAAAAAGGTTAATTCTCTTCTACATTAAAAACAAAAGGAAGGGATCTTGTAAAGTTTGATACTTTTTCTACAGAAATGTAAATGTCGTATTATATACTTTAAGGTCTACATTGTTTTTGCGTTTACAGTTACTTTGTTTGTAATATATTTTTTCGAACTTAAAAGTATTTTAAGCAAAACAAATTTGTTTAGTATGAGTAGGGCTTATACGTCAAACCAAAGCAATGGCTGCTTGGCGCTTGGATTTTGCAAAAACATTATATGTTTTCTGAAAAGGAATATTCTTTTCGGTCTTGATAATCTTTTATAAGAGATAATTTTTGAAATAACCCAAACATGATTCTTCTATAAGATGGTATAAGATGGATCCATTAGTTTGCTTTCAATCTGCTATTAATCTGCTAATAATTTTTAATTAGTCTACCATTAGTTTGACGGTATTCTACATTCAACTATTTGACAAATCAATTTATCAGTAGTTTACAAATAATAGTAGTTAGAAAGGTAGCACTGACATTTACAAAAATCGTAAAAATTGGTTATTTTCACAATTTTTCTTCAATAAGGTACTTATTTCACATTATTTTATCATTTTGGGTCATTTTAAATTATTTTCTCTTTTTATAATACATTAACCATTGGTTTCCAGCATTCTTTCTATGGTTAGACCGCTCAAATTCTCAGTCAGGAGTGACACTAGAGAGCTATCGACAGTTAGGAAACGTCTCCATGACGTTTCTAGCAATTTGGGGTATTGAAAAATGAAAAACTTGCAAAAAATAGTATTAATGAAGTTTGCCAACTGCTAGTAATGTTGCTTCTCTTTTTGTGAGACAGAGAGATTTTAAAAATGGGGAAGGTGTGATATCTAACAATACCAACTTTTTGTTCATTGATACAACAACTCCTAAGTCATAACTAGAGAGTCTAGAGAGAAAGCCTCTTTAACGTGAACACAATCCCTAAACACACACACAATTATAATAACCAAGTTTAATTTGGTTAGAAAAACAAAAATAAAGTTCAATCAAAATGAAAATAAACACTAAATACAGAGTTTATTAATTATTAGTACCCTAGTTTGAAAGAACTAGTAAATTTGTATTGGCTTGTTCGTATACAGAAGAATGATTGGATTATTCACTTTTTTGGTGGTATATGTAACTTTGAAACTGAAATGAAAAAATGGCAAGAAGAGCGAGACAATAATCTCTGGTCTCCGGTGATAAAAGAGATTCTTCACATCTTGGATCTTACTTGCTGCACAAGTTCCCTTCTCAAGATTTTACCAGCAGCAGATTTTGGAACACTGCTAATGAAGCTCACTCTTCGTAGTCTTTTGTAAGGAGAAACCTGATGAAAGCAAAAGAAGAGAGATCGTTTTGAGCTTCAGAGAAGAAAGAAAACAAACATATTGATACAACTGATTCGAAAGACTTGAGAGTTAATAATTTATTATAAACCTGTTTGGCTATGAACTTTTGAATATCTTCCTCTGTTATTGAACTATTTGTACTGATTAATGATATTGTATGATATTTTTTGTAGATCATTCTAACTCATGAGTTTGTGATGATGAGTTGTGCAAATTGCCGTGGACAAAACCCGAATCATCATCTATACGTAGAGGGAAAGACTTAAACCAAACCTGAAATCTTGTTTGTGTAAGACAAATTAAAGCATTATTCAAACAATCAAACCAAAGATAAAAAGTACTTGCACTATACAATGTGGGAGGGTATAAATACTGTTTGGTCACAGCATCATGAATATTGATTTCAACCCTAACTCGAGAAGGTTTCAAAAAAAGAAAGTTATATATTGAAACCACATGGTATGCGAAATCCTTGGGCAACGAAAAGCAATTATCAAAATTTTCTATCTTACAGTAAACAAGAGAACCCTAAAGCAAAGTCGTTCTTCACCAATGCTCAATCAATACATAAAATATGAAAAAAAAAAAGTTAAAAAACCGTCGCTACAAACTGATAACTCTCAGATCATGAGGTCTTCGTTGCTTGGCAATCTTCTGAACAAGTTCTTGATATTACTGGGAAAATCGTTGCGACAGCAGGGGAAATTAACCCAAAACAAAAAACAAGCCAAAGCAAAACACTTTTGGATAAAGGTTACGTAATCCCAAATATTGTAAACGACGCACAGCAACCCAAAACCGGCCCACGGGAACAAAACCTTAGCGAGCGGATGGCCAACACAGAGCTTCCAGAGAGAGTAAAGCCTTTCACATTGCGACGCAGCATCTCCCATAAGTGCCACCACGTTCGCCGCCGGCTTCCTCAACTCATCGTACCTCCTCATCACAACATCCGGATCAGCCGACGACGGAATCGGGTCAAACTCTTCGTCTAGCTCTTGTAGGCTGGGCGGGTCGAGCTTCGAGAGCTTCAAATCCACGAGAACCAAAGGAGGTGTGTCCATCCTATTCGTGAGCCAGAGGGTCGAGAGCTCGGGTATTGCAATAATTGTTTTCAACGCCAAGATGGGAAGTACCAAATAGTAAGCCGCACATCAAAGATTAGCAACGAAAAAAAGAGAGCAAACGCAACGATTTTCGGACGACAAGCTGTCGTGGATCTCACGTTTGCATCGAGCCAAGCGTACCAGCTGAACAACCGGGCCAAGGATCTCTTCGGCTTCAGAATATCCCTCACCACCTCGTTTCTCAGCGGCGGCTCTGTTCTCGCCAGGTTCATGCAGTTCACCTCCACCGCCTGTGCTCGCAGTTCCTCCTTCTGAAGCAGCGACATTGGAAACTTGTAATGAGTCTTCGGCAGCATCCAACGGAAACGTGATGTTTCAAACGCGTAAGATCGCGGAACGCTCGCGCAGCGAACCGCTAGCTGAAGCTCACCTTTCTTCTTCAATCCTTCTTTTCCCAGCTCCATTATCGGCCAAGAACCGGTGTAGACCGTGTTCCATTTGAGCTGTCTCAACGGAATCCTCACTTTCCCAATCGGACCATCATTCCCCTGACCATAGTTTGTAATGATCTGCTGGTTGTCGTACACTCCAAGCGTTAGCACCGTACACTTTTCGTATACATCCCAAGAATACTGCTCGTTCCACTTGGGCGACGGATTATCCACCACGGTTCGAGTCCTTGCCCATTTATTCCCATACTTGGCCACCACGTATGCGTTCCTTTGATACGCCGAGTTTTTCACCGGCGTTAGCCCCGTCGCACCCAAGATCCCTACCTCTAGTTTCCCGAGCAAACACGTCCACAACCCTTTCGCGAAAGCTCGATAGTCGCTGCAGTATTGGCTACATTCATCAAAGACGTGGTAAGCTTGATCAGTCGCTAGTTTCATCTTGATTCTGCTAGCGAACCGCCTCGTATCACCTGCCGGTTGGACATCACCCGGTGGTTCAATGTCGTGGAACAGAACCGGTGCTGGTCCGGGGACTTTCATCGCACTCATCTCTGAGAGCTTCTTTTTTAATTTCCCTATGCATTGTTCGTGGTGTTCATCGAATTTCTCCATTAGGCTTATGTAGACCGTTCCTTCTAGCGGCTCCGATGCAACAAAGATGAGATCTTGATTCCACGACGGGTTCAAACCAGACTTGATCTCGGTCCGTAGAGCGACTCGACCCAGAGTTGCCTTCACGTAAACCGAAGGATTCTGCTGTTTCTTATCGGCAGAAATCAAGTCGTGACCTGAAACAATTGTAACCCTAACGTAACAGAGCCTTGGGGCTAGGTAGACCTTAGGCCGCGTGTTGGTCACGCAACTAGCACTCACATCACACGCGTCAGAAAACTAAGCGTTTGAATAAACCTCATCAGCTTGTGTACCGAACCAGATCGACATCAGCAATGCCATGTGATAACCGGTTTCGGTATTCTGCATAGAGCACCACTGCGGAGCGATTCTTGCATCGGGAGGAACCCTACTCGGAATATCCAAGACCAGCTTGAAATTTTGCTTGCCAATCACGGTATTACTCTCCAGTAGAGTAACCGACAAGACATCGCCTTTGGATTTGTCGAAAGCAAAGACTTGGTTCCACTCCCAGTTTGGTCCTATTGGTAGATTCTTGGTCGAGGATTTGTAGTTCCCGAGAGTGATTTCCACGACGGGGATAAATGTGTGGGCTATAGGGTTTACGACAGAGTTGTTGATGGCTTTGATTACTTCAACGTAAAGAAACTCCATCTGCTCGATGAGGTCATGTGAAGAAGTTGGGCCATTGGGTTTTCGAGCTCCTTTTTCTCCGCCGAGCATTGGAGATATTTTCTTGAAAGAGAAGTCAGCCATCTCTGAAGCAAAAACCTGAGATGAATTTCAGAAATAAGTTTAAACATGAATTGGTAAACTTTAGAACGTATGAACTGATTTTGATCGCTAAAACTGATCACTAACAACCTGTGTATCTTATACAATGAAGCAGGGTATAGGGTTTAAGGCTTTGACTATTCCTTTTGATTATACATGTATGTATATATGAGAGAGTTGAATAGAGAAATGGAAAATTTTCATAATTTATTTATATGGGAATCTTGTCTTCCTCATCGCGGTCATGAACTTTCCCAAATTTGGAGTTTTACCGAAGAAATCTCTGCTGGTGCATTTTTAAACTGAAATGGTGTGTTTAGGCTTCGGTTCAACAATTTCTTTCAAGCCCAATATTTATGGCTAGTGAATGCATCAAAATATTTTTTGAATTCTCTAAAATTCTTGAATTCACAAAGTTAATTGCACCCTTCATGAGCCGGAGATGGATTGGTCCGACAAACCAGACACGAACTATGCAACTTGAGCCACCCACCGATGCATTCGGTATGGAAACAATGCTCACACTCGGGTAAGCACCTAACCGTCTCTTTGGTAGCGTATTCGGACAAACAAAAAGGTTCTCTTCTGTGAAGACTGTTATCGTGATGAACAAGCAACATTTGAATATGCCAACAAGGCTTATTCATGGTTCAAACTCTAGTCAAGTTAATCGGAGTAGAGTTAAGGAGCAGCTGCTTTTGGGACCACTTATTGTTACAGCCGAATACTACAAATCTGGAGTCTGCAACGGTCTGTTAATGACAGCAAATCGGTAGTATTGTCGGCTTGCACACGGTGGCCCTTTTCTTTTGTTTGGTACAAAGAACAGCTGTGTATGAGTGTTTGGCATTAAGCGAGGAAGTCCTACGGAGAAGCTACTATAAAGAGGCGGTAATGGCGAAAGAGAGAGGTGTTGAAGCAAGTCATAAGATTGCTTGAGAGTAGAGAGAAAAGAGAAAGCTTTAAAGTATAAACTTGTATCGTTTTCTTCTTGTTACATAGGTGTTACGAAGTGTGCTCTAAGTGCTAGTGAAGGGCATTAGGGTGGATCGCTTGTAACTCCTACTATTGTATTCTCTCTTATAAACTAGTGGATTCCGAGTCTAGGACTCGGCGAGACATAGCTACCCGCAAGGGAGTGAACTCGTAAAATTCTCTGTGTGCTCTCCTATTTTTTCATTTCTCTCTCGATACTCTGTTTCTTCTGTCTTTGTCTCAAATACTCTGTTCCTCATCCTCTGTTTCTCAGAACAAGTCCAGGGAATACTCAGTCCATCTCACTCGAACTTGTGCTTGTTTTGTCGCCTCCTTGAAGAAAGTTGACGTCTTAAGGGTCCGCAGACTTAACAGCTTGGTATCAGAGCCAGGTTACGGCTTATGGCTCGTAGCTTTCACAAGCAAGAGCCATGACTACAACGAGGGTTGAAATGGATAAGTTTGATGGTCAGGGAGATTATACGATGAGGAAAGAGAAGCTGGAAGCTCAGCTGGATATTTTGGGTCTAAGTGTTGTTTTCAAGGAGCCAACTTTCGATAAATCTAAAGCCAGCTCAGATCTTGAAAAGCTTGTGGTTGATGAACAGATTGAAGCATATGAAGAGAAGATGAAAAGAGCAAGGAGCACCATCGTTTTAAGTCTTACAGATAGGGTGTTGAGGAAAGTGAAAAAGGCGAAGACTGCAGTCGAAATGTTGAAAGCTCTAGATCAGCTTTACATGTCTAAGGCTTTCCCAAACCGGATCTATCTAAAGCAGAAGCTATACGGCTTCAAGATGTCTGAGAACATGTCTGTAGAAGGCAATATCGATGAGTTTCTATTGATTGTAGAAGATCTAGAAAACATGGAAGTTATTGTCTCAGATGAGGATCAAGCGATTCTCTTACTAATGTCTCTCCCCAAGCCATTCGATCAGCTTAAAGACACCTTAAGATATGGGTCAGGAAGAACGGTTCTGACGCTTGACGAGGTTGTTACTGCTATATACTCAAAGGAATTGGAACTTGGTTCAAGTAAGAAGAGTATTAAAGTGCAAGCAGAAGTTCTTTATGCAAAAAGAAAGAATGAAAGAGGAAGAAGCGAGCAACGTGAGAAGGGAAAGAAAGGTAACAAGTCACGTTCTAAGTCTAAGAGCAAGAAGGGCTGTTGGACGTGTGGAGAAGAAGGCCACTTCAAGAATACCTGTCCCAACAAGAACAAAGCTCAGTATAAACCACAGGATGGTGGAAACAGTAGAGGGGAAACCTCAAATGGAAAAGGAAACTTAGCTGAAGCGGCTGGGTTATATATTTCAGAGGCTCTGTCATCAACAGAGATTCATCTAGAAGATGAGTGGATCATGGATACTGGTTGCAGCTATCACATGACATACAAGAAAGAGTGGTTCGAGGACTTAGATGAGGATGCAGGAGGTTCTGTCAGAATGGGAAACAAGACAGTATCGAAGGTAAAAGGAGTGGGCAGCATCAGAATCAAGAATGAAGATGGCTTGACTGTATTGCTAACCAACGTGAGGTACATCCCTGAAATGGACAGAAATCTCTTATCTTTGGGAACATTTGAGAAAGCGGGGTACAAATTTGAATCTGAAAATGGTACCTAAGCATTAAAGCTGGGGACAGAGTTTTGCTCACTAGAAGAAGGTATGAGACACTTTACTTGCTTAAGTGGAGTGCTGCAATTGAGGAGTCACATGCTGTTGCAGCAAGACAAGATGATACTGTTCTCTGGCATAGAAGACTATGTCACATGAGCCAGAAGAACATGAAGATACTGCTGCAGAAAGGTCTTTTGGACAAGAAGAAAGTCTCAACATTCGATCTATGTGAAGACTGTGTGTTTGGAAGAGCAAAGCGAGTCGGATTCACACTTGCTCAACACGATACAACACAGAAGCTAGAATATGTCCACTCAGACCTATGGAGAGCACCTTCAGTACCATTATCACTTGGGAGATGTCAGTACTTCATCTCCTTCATCGATGACTACACTCGCAAGGTATGGGTGTATTTTCTCAAAACCAAAGATGAAGCATTTGACAGATTCGTGGAATGGATAAGTCTGGTGGAGAATCTCAGTGAAAGTAAAGTCAAAACGTTGAGGACAGACAACAGTCTTGAGTTCTGCAATAGAAGTTTTGATGAGTTCTGCGGAGAAAGAGGGATTCAAAAACATCAGACATGTGCTTACACTCCCACAGCAGAACGGTGTTGCTGAGAGGATGAACCGCACGATCATGGAAAAAGTCAGAAGTATGCTCAGCGATTCAGGACTTCCTAAGAAGTTCTGGGCAGAGGCAACGCATACAGCAGTGACATTGATCAACAAAACACCTTCAGCGGCTCTAAATTTTGAGATATGGTAAATCTCCAAATTACAGTTATTTAAAGAGATTTGGTTGTGTTGCCTTTGTCCATACAGACGATGGCAAGCTGAATCCAAGAGCTAAGAAAGAGGTTCTGATTGGATATCCAAGTGGGGTAAAGGGGTACAAGATTTGGCTAACAGAAGAGAAGAGGTGTGTAGTGAGCAGGAATGTTATCTTTCAAGAAAATGCAGTTTACAAGGATCTACTGCAGAAAGGTAAAGATATCGTCACAGAAGAAGAGGACCATGTCGGGTCATATATGGAGCTTGACATTGAAGCAGATATGGATATCTCTTCGGGTGGAGATCAAGACGATGCACCCTCTACACCAATTCCTGCTAGTCAAATCTCTTCTACACGCTTGGGAGAAGAAACTGAAAGTGATGCTGGAGTTGAAGTAATTCGATCACCAAGAAGCTATCACATTGGTAGAGACAGACCAAGAAGAATACACAAAGCTCCAAAACGTTTTGCTGATGAAGAATATTACGCAGAAGCTCTCTGTACAACAGAAGATGGAGATACTATCGAGCCTGCAGACTACAAAGAAGCAAGAATGGATTCAAACTGGGATAAGTGGAGTAGTGCTATGGACGAGGAGATAAGTTCTCAAATGAAGAATCACTCCTGGACTACAGTGACTAAACCAGAAAAGCAGAGAATCATTGGGAGCCGCTGGATATAAGCTGGGAATTCCAGGGGTGGAAGAACCAAGGTTCAAAGCTAGGCTTGTCGCCAAGGGTTATGCACAGAGAGAAGGGATAGATTATCATGAGATCTTCGCTCCAGTAGTAAAGCATGTTTCAATCCGGATTCTACGCACCATAGCTGCTCAAGAAGATCTAGAGTTGGAACAGTTAGATGTGAAAACGGCTTTCCTCCATGGAGAGTTAACAGAGAAGATCTACATGTCACCACCTAAAGGGTATGAATCCATGTTTAAAGAGAATGAGGTATGTCTTCTCAACAAAGCTTTATATGGTCTTAAACAAGCGCCAAGACAGTGAAATGAAAAGTTTGACAACTATATGGCTGAGATCGGTTTTGTAAGAAGCGATTATGACAGTTGTGCCTACACTAAGGTGTTGTCGAATGGCTCAATGATGTACTTACTTCTGTATGTGGATGATATGCTTGTTGCTGCTAATGATATGGAAGCAATCACGCAACTTAAGAAGGAGCTGAGTGTAAAGTTCGAGATGAAAGATCTCGGGGCTGCAAGGAAGATTTTAGGAATGGAAATCACGAGAGATAGAGCTGCAGGGTCTCTTTGGCTGTCTCAGGAAGGATATTTAGAGAAAGTTCTGGAGACCTACAACATGAGCGAAGCTAAACATACAGTGACACCACTTGGAGCTCACCTGAAGATGTGTTCAGCAACTGAAGAAAGTTTAGCGAGAGATGCTGATGTTATGAAAAGCATTCCATACTCAAATGCAGTCGGAAGCGTCATGTATGCAATGGTGGGAACTCGACCTGATCTAGCATATGCAGTGGGTATTATCAGCCGCTATATGAGCCAGCCGATCAGTGAACATTGGCTAGGAGTAAAGTGGGTATTGAGATACATCAAAGGGTCTCTTAAAACGAGATTATGCTACAAGAAAAGCTCAGAGTTCAAGATCGTGGGATACTGTGATGCTGATTACGCTGCTGATCCAGATAAGAGAAGATCTATTACGGGGCTGGTGTTTACTCTAGGAGGCAACACCATAAGCTGGAAGTCAGGATTGCAGCGTGTTGTTGCTCTTTCAACCACCGAATCAGAGTACATGGCACTTACTGAAGCAGTCAAGGAAGCTGTTTGGTTGAAAGGTTTGTTGAAGGATTTTGGGTATGAACAAAGAAGTGTTGAAGTACACTGTGATTCACAGAGTGCTATTGCTCTCTCAAAGAACAATGTCCACCATGAGAGAACAAAGCACATTGATGTGAAGTATCATTACATTCGTGAGGTTATTGCGGATGGAAAGGTATAGGTAGTGAAGATATCGACTGAAAAGAATCCTGCAGATATTTTCACTAAGGTTTTGGCAGTGAGCAAGTTTCAAGCTGCATTGAAGCTGCTTCAAGTCACTTCTGAGTAATAAAACTCAGGGAATCCGAGTCTGGAATCCTGTAACTAGTTTGCAAGGTATGTGATCTCTCTCTAAACTCGTGTGGGTATTGTTGTGGAATCTGTTCATCATGTTAACAGGTGGAGATTTGTGAAGACTGTTATCGTGATGAACAAGCAACATTTGAATATGCCAACAAGGCTTACTCATGGTTCAAACTCTAGTCAAGTTAATCGGAGTAGAGTTAAGGAGCAGCTGCTTTTGGGACCACTTATTGTTACAGCCGAATACTACAAATCTGGAGTCTGCAACGGTCTGTTAATGACAGCAAATCGGTAGTATTGTCGGCTTGCACACGGTGGCCCTTTTCTTTTGTTTGGTACAAAGAACAGCTGTGTATGAGTGTTTGGCATTAAGCGAGGAAGTCCTACGGAGAAGCCACTATAAAGAGGCGGTAATGGCGAAAGAGAGAGGTGTTGAAGCAAGTCATAAGATTGCTTGAGAGTAGAGAGAAAAGAGAAAGCTTTAAAGTATAAACTTGTATCGTTTTCTTCTTGTTACATAAGTGTTATGAAGTGTGCTCTAAGTGCTAGTGAAGAGCATTAGGGTGGATCGCTTGTAACTCCTACTGTTGTATTCTCTCTTATAAACTAGTGGATTCCGAGTCTAGGACTCGGCGAGACGTAGCTACCCGCAAGGAAGTGAACTCGTAAAATTCTCTGTGTGCTCCCCTGTTTTTTCATTTCTCTCTCGATACTCTGTTTCTTCTGTCTTTGTCTCAAATACTCTGTTCCTCATCCTCTGTTATCAGAACAAGTCCAGGGAATACTCAGTCCATCTCACTCGAACTTGTGCTTGTTTTGTCGCCTCCTTGAAGAAAGTCGACGTCTTAAGGGTCTGCAGACTTAACATCTTCTACATTAAAAACAAAAAGAAGGGATCTTGTAAAGTTTGATACTTTTTATACAGAAGTGTAAATGTCTTATGATACTTTCAAGGTCTACATTGTTTGTTTGCATTTACAGTTACAAGTATTTTAAGCAAAACAAATTTTGTTTAGTATGAGGGCGTAAACGTCAAACCAAAGCAAGTTTAATTTGGTTAGAAAAACAAAAACAAAGTTCAATCAAAATGAAAATAAAAATTAAATACAGAGTTTATTAATTATTAGTACCCTAGTTTGAAAGAACAAGTAAATTTGTATGGCTTGTTCGTACTGTATACAGAAGAATGAAAGAGAAAGTGTATGACTTTGGTCTTGGGTTATTCACTTTTTGTGGTATATGTGACTTTTAAATTTGAAATGGCAAGAAGAGCGAGACAACACATGTATTCTGATCTCTGGTCTCCGGTGATGAAAGATTCTTCACATCTTGGACCTTACTTGCTGAACAAGTTCCCTTCTCAAGATTTTACCAGCAGCAGATTTTGGAACACTGCTAATGAAGCTCACTCTTCGTAGTCTTTTATAAGGAGCAACCTGATGAAAGCAAAAGAAGAGAGATCGTTTTGAGCTTCAGAAAAGAAAGAAAACAAACACATTGATACAACTGATTCGAAATACTTGAGAGTTAATCATTTATTATAAACCTGTTTGGCTATGAACTTTTGAATATCTTCCTCTGTTATTGAACTATTTGGGGATCGCACAACAAATGCAATTGGAACTTCACCTGCTTCTTCATCAGGGAAGCTGCAACATATACATATATCTAGAGATGTTCATGTGTTTATACGGGCGAATCAACTCGGTAATGTTCTGGTGTATTGAATTGTGACAATATGACTTACGGGATAACGACAGCGTCTAGTATTTCGGGATGCGATACAAGAAGACCTTCTAGTTCAGCTGGAGCAACCTGTATATATATATCGAACCATGAAGAAGTTCATAAATTTCAGTTTCACGCTGAGAAGAAGAATGAGAGAATCTTTTCAATCGACGACAAACCTGGAAGCCTTTGTATTTGATAAGTTCTTTGATTCGATCAACAACAAAAAGGTTACCATCTTCGTTAAAGTATCCAAGATCTCCGGTATGTACCCAACCTTTCTTATCTATTGTTTCTTTAGTAGCCTTAGGGTTATTGAGATACCCTGAAAGAGAATTTGGTTTACAAGAATTTCAAACAAAGGAAACTTTAAAAAGTTGAATACTTTGAAACATTACCTTTCATCATGTTAGGCCCTCGAACCCAGATCTCGCCTAACTGGTTAGGAGGCTGAGTTTTTCCAGTTTCTACACTCACTATCTGAGCTTCAACACCTGCAACAAGCATTCCAGCTGAACCAGAGTTCCTTTTTCCGAGTCTCGAGTCTTCCACAGAGACAATCCCACAGGTTTCAGTCATTCCATATCCCTGGAGAAACCACAACACACATCTTCTGCATCATTCAAACAATCATCCCAAAGCAAATGCAATCTCCTAAGTTCCACAATGATCTTAGAACAATGTTCATTCTGTCTGCTACAAACAGAACTGAAATTGGGCGAAATCTTATACATTTTGGCTTGGTTCTTTACTAGAAAACATCAATGAATTAGCTAACATCTAATCTTATCAAAAACTCAAAAGACTTTTTGCGAAATGAGTAGAAAGGACCAAAACCAAGAACAGGATATGGAACCTGCATAAGCACGACATTAGGGAGGTTTCTTCCACCCTCCTCCATCAAATCTTTCCCAAGAGGAGCAGCTCCTGATCCAATGTACTTGAGCGAAGAAAGATCGTACTTTTTCACAATACTCTGCTTAGCAAGAGCAAGGAACACAGGAGGAACAACCCAAAGCTGAGTGACTCTGTACTTTTCGATGTTCTTAAGAAGCGTCTCGAGCTCGAACTTCGCCATGGAGACCAAAGCATTCCCTCTCTGAAGCTGCGAATAAGTGATCACGGCAAGCCCAAATACATGGAACATCGGAAGGAAACACAAGAACACGCCGTGACACTCTCCCATTAGATCTTGATCCATCGTCCCCATCAAAGAAGCTGCGATGAAATTTCCATGGGTTAACTCCACGCCTTTGCTCATTCCCGTGGTTCCTGACGAATACAACAGTGCAGCAGTATCTGATTGTTTAATTTCGACGACCGGGAGATCCGAATCTGGCTCGGCGAGCTCCATCACGTTGTTGAAGCTGAGGATTTTCGAATTCGATCCCGTATTAGGAGGAATCTGTACGGATTCGCCAGATCCCAGTAGCACGATGGGGAGATTGAAACCCTTGATTTTGTCGAACAACTGCTCAACGGAGATAATAATCTTCGGGTTCGAGTCCTTGATCTGCTTGGAAACCTCATTCGTGGTGTAGAGAGGGTTCGCGGTGGTGAAAACGCCGCCGATTGCGGATACGGCGAGGAAACAGAGAGGGAACTGGTAAGAATTCGGAGCGAAGATCAACACGACGTCGTTTTTGCGAATCCCTAGACGGAGAAACCCGTGGGCGAGTCTAGCAACGGCGGATTTGAGCTGAGAGAAAGATAAGGAGTCGCCGGAGTCGGAGTCAACGAGAGCAGGCTTACTCGGGTAAGAAGATGAATTACGGAAGAGGAAAGAGACTAACGATGTGTTGGGATCTTTGGGAAGAACGAGCTTCGGACGAAGTGATCGGTAAATACCGTCTCTGCCGTAGCCGGATTTCTCCATTTTCCGATCCGAAAAAGAGGAGAGAGGATAATGTGAGTGTGAATGTGATGATGATGAGAAAGACGATGATGACATGTAAGAGAGAAAGTCACAGTCTCAGGAATAAATGAGTTTTCTATTCTGATTTCTCCACGTAAACGTCTAAATATGTCCAAAACATTAATCAATCAATCATGCCTAATTTAATCATTGACCAATAAAAAATTAAATGGGGAAATCAATCAATCTTGCATAATATTTTATAGCTTCTTTCTTTCGGTCAAAAATATTATATAGCTTATGGACACCAAAACTCCCAATGAAATAGACACCAAAAATGAATTTAAAGAAAAAGATTACTCATAACAATAACAACGAGTAAATACAAATATAATATTAGTAAGTTCAAAGAAATGGAAAATAAAAATAGAGTTTATTGCTACTTCGGAAAGAACATTAATTTTATTATGACTTGTTTATATAAAAGAAAATGGAAAAGAAAACAAATGTGTACGACTTTGGTCTTGGATTTACTTGTTTCATCTTTTTGTGGTTTGTGTGATTAATTTGAAATGGTACATTAAAAAAAAAAGCGAGAAGATCAAGACAACAAAAGAGAGATTATGATCTCCCGGTAATGAAAGATTCTTCACATCTTGGACCTTACTTGCTGAACAAGTTCCCTCCTCAAGATCTTACCAGCAGCAGATTTTGGAACACTGCTAATGAAGCTCACTCTTCGCAGTCTTTTATAAGGAGCAACCTAATTGAAAAGCCAAACAAAATGAAATTAACACATTGACACGATTAGTCACAAAAGACTTGAGTCACAAAAGACTTGAGTCACAAGTTATCAAACCTGCTTGGCTATGAACTTTTGAATATCTTCCTCTGTTATCGAACTATCCGGTGAACGGACAACAAATGCAATTGGAACTTCACCAGCTTTTTCATCAGGTAACCTGCAGCATAATCACATAAACAAATGTTAATGTGTTCGAACAAACGAACCAATTTCGTGTTGAACTGTGAATATATGACTCACGGTATAACAACAGCATCTAGTAACTCGGGATGCGATACAAGAAGACCTTCTAGCTCAGCTGGAGCAACCTGTATGTATATTATATATCAAAACCATTCATTGTGATCTCATCTTAATTCAACAAAAAGTGTGTTGGGAATTGAAAGTGAAACCTGGAAGCCTCTGCATTTGATAAGCTCTTTGATTCGATCAACAACGAAAATGTTACCATCCTCGTTAAAGTATCCAAGATCTCCGGTATGTACCCAACCTTCTTCATCTACTGTTTCTTTAGTAGCCTTAGGGTTATTGAGGTAACCTGAAAGACAATTTGGTTTTAGTGGACTATCAAGCATAAGAAAAGTAAGATTTCAAAAACTTGATACGTTACCTTTCATCATGTTAGGCCCTCGAACCCATATTTCACCTAACTGATTAGGTGGCTGAGATTTTCCAGATTCTACACTCACTATTTGAGCTTCAACACCTGCAGCAAGCATTCCAGCAGAACCAGAGTTCCGTTTCCCGAATCTCGGGTCTTCCATGGAGACAATTCCACACGTTTCAGTCATTGCGTAGCCCTAAAGAAACCACAAACCTCACGTTTCAGTCATTGCTGAACTATACTCACTCTGCTATCAACAAAACTGAAATTTGGCGAAACCTAATACATTTTGGCTTGGTTCTTTACGAGCTAACATCTAAGTTTATCATACCTGCATAAGCACAACATTAGGGATGTTTCTTGCACATTCCTCCATCAGATCTTTCCCAAGAGGAGCAGCTCCTGATCCAATGTACTTGAGCGAAGAAAGATCATACTTTTTCACAATACTCTGCTTGGCAAGAGCAAGGAACACAGGAGGAACAACCCAAAGCTGCGTGATTCTGTACTTCTCGATGTTCTTGAGAAGCGTCTCGAGCTCGAACTTCGCCATGGAGACCACTGCACTCCCTCTCTGAAGCTGGGCGAAGGTAACCACGTTCAACCCAAAGACATGGAACATCGGAAGAAAACACAAGAACACGCCGTGATGCTCTTCCATCAGATCTTGATCCATCGTCACCATTAGAGACGCTGCGATGAAGTTCCCGTGAGTTAACTCCACGCCTTTGCTCATCCCCGTTGTTCCTGATGAATACAACAGTGCAGCGGTGTCTGATTGCTTAACGTCGACGATCGGGAGATCTGAAACTGGCTCCGAGAGATTCACCACGTCGTTGAAGCTGAGGATGTTCGAATCCGAGTCGGATTCGCCAGATCCGAGTAGCACAATGGGGAGACCAAAACCCTTGATTTTGTCGAGGAGTTGCTCAACAGAGATGATGATCTTTGGATTCGAGTCCTTGATCTGCTTGGAAAGCTCGTTGACGGTGTAAAGAGGATTCACGGTGGTGAAAACGCCGCCGATTGCCGTTACGGCGAGGAAACAGAGAGGGAACTTGTGAGAATTCGGAGCGAAGATCAAAACCACGTCGTTTTTGCGGATACCTAGACGGAGAAACCCGTGGGCGAGTCTAGAGACGGCGGATTTGAGCTGAGAGAAGGATAAGGAGTCGCCGGAGTCGGAGTCAACGAGAGCAGGCTTACTCGGGTAAGAAGAGGAGTTACGGAATAGGAAAGAGACTAGCGACGTGTTGGGATCTTCGGGAAGAACGAGCGTCGGACGAAGTGATCGGTAAATGCCGTCTTTGCCATAGCCGGATTTGTCCATTTTCCGATCTAAGAGGAATGAGGAAGAAGAGACTTGGAGAATCGAGACGACGACTTGAGAGGGTCTTTCTATTTTGAATTTTGAATAACTCAACGTAAATGTCGCCTATGTCCAACATGTTACTATATATAGTAATAGTATTTTATCTTTGTTTCGGAATCAATCATTAATCACGTAGTGATGTATGATAGTTTACTTTTTATTTTATTTCTTTCTTTTGTCAACCTTTACTTATGAATTATAAACTAAGACTTACTTGTGAATCATAAATTAAGACTTTTGAGTGCCTGCATTTTTTAACGATACGCCTCCATCAATGGCACCAAATATAAGGACATACAAACTTGAGAAGTTATTCTTTTTGTTGTCTTTAATACTTTGCAGAACAACTTAGCATATAAGTTATGATGTTGTAAAATGTCTATTTGTTAGCAGCTATGAAATCGAAAAACTATTCCGTTACTACATAATTTTACGTTAATTAGAAACTATTTGTTTTACGGTAATATTTTTTTTTTATAATTTAATTTTTAAAATGTTGGTTTTACAAATATAATTTTATTGTTCTACAACATTGTAATCAAAATAGTTAATCTACAAATAATGCTAAGATGTTATAAAATATGATTAATTATTTTTTTGTTAATCATATTTATGTTTTTTAGTCAAAAAAATTATACAATAAACGTGTGTTTAATTTTTAATAAGAAGATAATTTATTAATATTTTTCTTCTTCTTTATTTTATTCGTTATTATTCTTTTGTTGTTATTCTTCATATTTTTTCTAAATCTTTATTATTGTTCTTTTTTTTCATTTCTTCATCTTCTTTTTTTTTCTTTTCTTTTAAGTTCTTTTTGTATGTTATTCTTTTTCATTCTTTCTCTCTTCTTATTTTTAGTGATTTTCTTTTCTGTATTTTCCCCTCTATTTTTCTCTATTATTTTTTTTTATTATTTTTTTTTCCTCATTTTTTTTTGTTCTTTTTTTTCTGTAATTTTTCTTGTACTTCTTCGTTTTGTTTGTTTTTTATTTCGATTTTTCTAGGTTTTTTTCTCTTTTCTTCTCCTTTTTCATTTTTTTCTTCTTCTCTAATCTTATTCTTTATTTTTTTTTGGAAAATTGGATCATATGACCATATTTCCAAGCTAAATTCATGAAATAATCATAGCAAAGTAGGTGCTATAATATTCCTTATATATTCTATAATATATACAAAATTGACCTTTTTGTTTTTTTTTTAATTTTTTTCCCATACGATCTTCTCTGATCTTCTCTTCTCTTCTCATCCTTTTCCCTTTTCTTTCATTTGCTCACCTCATCTCTCCTCCTCTCATTCCCCTCTCCTTGCCTCCCCTTTCCTCTCCTCCCCGTCTCTCTCGTCTTTTTTTCTTCCTTCCTCTTTTTTCTGTATATAATATATCAAATAGGATTATTCTATAAAATTATATATAGTATAATATATAGTATAATATAGTACAAGTTTATTTTCGATAATTGATTTTGGGCCATGGTTAGTTTACTAAATTTTCAAATAGCATGACTATACTGTTCGATTGTTTTGCAAATATGGTTATTGAAAAAAGCTTTTTTAAAAAAAAAAGTTTAGCAAAACAAAATTGAATTGAAATTTTTTTATATTAAATAATTAATATTATATAAATAATTTTTGGCCTAACATATTTTATGATTTTTCTGTAAAATAAAATTTAGACTCTAAAAATATTATTTTTTAATTTTATTTTGGCATTTTCTATATATATATATATATTTGTAAATTTCGAATTAAAAACAAAAAATAAGATAGTTCTAAATTTTTTAAGTAAAAATGGGCCTTTTAATAAGAAGGAAAACAAACTATTAGGCCCTTAATGAGAAAAGTAACAAAAAAATTAGGCCTTTGATAATTTAATGAGAAAAATAGATTTAATAAATTTTTATATAACTAATAAAAGTCCAATGGCATATTAGGTAGATAATATATCAAGTAAAGGGTTCTAAAACGGATTCTTTTTTGAGAAATTGTAAGGAATGGACTCAATTAATATCAAAATTAATCGACCATTTCTGACAACTTTTTCACTACACTGTTGTACATAAAAAAGATGAATGAATCCTTCTATCTTATCTAATTGCTTTTGACTCACAATTCTTTTCTTTTATTCATTTTTTTCACACGTTTTCTCTTCACGTCTATTTAAAAAAAAAATCAAAAAAAAATAATGTTGATCGTGATTGTTGGTAGCGGTAGTGGTGGTGATAGAAATGTTGATGGTGGTGGTGGTAAGTGTGGTGATGTCGGTGATGGTCGATGATGGGGATAGTGTTAGTGGTGGTGTTGGTGATGGTCGGTGGTGGTGGCGGTGGTGGTGGTGTTGGAGTCGCCGGTAGCGGTGGTGGTGTGGTAATGGTGTTGTCTATAGTGGTGATGGTCGGTGGTGGTGATGGTTACGGTGTTGGTGATGGTGATCGGTGGTGGTGGAAGTGATGGTGATGCCGGTGGTGGTGGTGGTGGTGGTGGTGGTGGTGGTGGTGGTGGTGGTGGTGTCGGTGATGGCGATGGTGGTGATAGTGTCGGTGGTGGTGGTGATGGGGTGAAAGAAGATGTTATCAACGTTAACACGATAGTTGGCATACTCACAATGTTAGTATGATAAATTTTTGATAAGATAATATTGTTAGCATGATAATTTTGCATAACTTATACAGTTAACAAATTTAATTCATATTTTTCATGAAATAATAGCAACATTAACACGATAATTATCATGTTTACTCGATATTCGTATAATGTGCTAATCGAACAAAGTTAACTCTTATTTTTCATGAAATAATAGCAACACTAGGTGGTTGCCCGCACATATGTGCGGGTATAATTTTTTTGATATACATAGTTAATTGTAATATTTAAATATTGAATAGTTTTTTAAACATTGGTATGTTTGTATATATATATATTATTTTAATATTTCACAAACTTATTTCTGAAACCAATGTATTTTAAAACTTTTTATTTTTATAATGCTTGTAATAATATACAATCACAAATATAAAAGTAATCTTATATAATAATTAAATTCTTATAATTTTTTTTGAATATTTCTATAATATGCTTTATTTCTCCTTACACAATCTACAATATGTTTTTTACGTCTTATACAATATGAATTTGCAAATACATATGTAATATATTTTAAGTATATATTTTTCTTGATTTATTACAATTTAAACTGAAAAAGTTTTTACCATTTTTACTTATTCGTAAGTGCGGATAGATGGTTGACACGCATGTGCGGACATACCAACCACTTCACTACACTTAGAATAGACAAAGAATTTTTTTTAAAATATAAATTGTATTATAATTAAAATAAAAATTAGATTTTAATCAATCTTAACAAAATACATGCACGGAAAAGTTCGCATGTGACTTAAACTAATGTACAATTAATATTTATGTATGTACGCATATTTGTAAAAAAATTGAAATATAGCACTTACGTGTTAAAAAGTTTTTAAGTGACATTGTAAAACAAAATGCGAGAAATTTTTTTTTTATACTTCTATTTTTATTTCTTATTCATATTTTTTCATCTTATTATAATTTATTCATTCGTTCGGTTATTTTTTATTTCATTTATGATCTCAAACTTTTGATATACAATGAAAATAAATTTATGTATATATATATATATATGAATATGATATAAAATTTTATTTTTATTTAAAATATGATAAGAGATAAGATGAGATGGTAACATAAGTTATGTACATTTTAGAAAACAACAAGAAAAAGATGATAAAAGTTATAAACAAATATATGGTTCTATTAATATTATAAAATAATAATTAGTATATACTTTATTCATTTAGTAAATATTTGTTTGAAAAGAAAAATTATTTACGATTACGATTTTTTTAAAAAAAATCAATAAAAGTTAAATATTTTTTATTATTTTTAACATTTGATTCTTTAAATTATTTTTATCATGATTGTATTTTATTTAAAATTGTATTATCTCATAATTTGTTTATTTAGAACTTGTTTAAATGTTATTAATATATTTTGCAAATTAATAACTTTCCAAAATAAAAATATATCATACTTCAAGTATTATTTACTTATAGAAATATTACTATTCTATTTGGATAATTTATTATTATTTTTTCGTTTTTATATGAAATTATATTATATATATATTTGAAAAAGTTTTGTAATTATATTTTATGAAATTATGAATATATGTAAAAAATTGAAATTATAATAACTTTTATTTTCTGTTAATTTAAATTTATTAATTTTAGTATTATAAATATAATCTAGTTTATTTATGTTTTAGTTACATAATTTCTTTAATTTTAATTCAACCAATCAAAATATTTCATTTATTTTATGAAGTTTGACATGTCACATTTACATGTCATCAATTAAAAGCACTAACTTTGGCTGTAGTGTTGACAAATCTGCTATTTTGAATAATGTTACTTCTCAAATAATATGTAGTGAGATTTAGTATTATTTTTTGTTTTTATATGAAATTATATTATATATATATTTGAAAAAGTTTTGTAATTATATTTTATAAAATTATGAATATATGTAAAAAATTGAAATTATAATAACTTTTATTTTCTGTTAATTTAAATTTGTTAATTTTAGTGTTATAAATATAATCTAGTTTATTTATGTTTTAGTTACATAATTTCTTTAATTTTAATTCAACCAATCAAAATATTTCGTTTATTTTAGGAAGTTTGACATGTCACATTTACATGTCATCAATTAAAAGCACTAACTTTGGCTGTAGTGTTGACAAATCAGCTATTTTCAATAATGTTACTTCTCAAATAATATGTAGTGAGATTAACATTAATTCTTATTTGTCATGAAATAATAGCAACATTAACACAATAGTTATCATGTTAACTTGATTTTTATACAATGTGCTAATCGAATATCATATTAGTTAGCATGGTTAACACAGTTATCACGATATCATATTAGTTAATATGATAATCGAATTGTTATCTACCCGAACCATATCAAATAACTATAAGGGCAAAATAGTCATAATTTTCATGTATAATATATATCGACCTAATTATCAATTATTAGCTCGGAATCTTTAATTTTTCAATTAACTTGGGCCATTCCCTCAATTTTCCTTTCTTTTTTAATATAATAGATTTATACAAAATTGTATTAAAAATTGATCAATAAGTTTACATAAAAAAACATGAGTATAAATCACAAATGTATTCATTATTTATTATTTATAGAGATGATAGTGTTGTTATTGGGTATACATGATTATTCATCGTAGCTTGTAAACAAAATTGACAAAATTACACAAAAAAATATTTAAAGAAGAGAACGAAAAGAAAAAACAAAATATTATACAGTTCACACTTCACACAGTAACGCGGAGACACGGCTCCAAGAAAGACGAAGATGTAATTTTCTCATTTCTCTTCAACAAGCTAAGAAGCCCGACCCGGATCCGAATCTGGTTCGGGTCTGTACTGTTCTTCTACACCAGGAACAACCATACCAGGGTGTTGATGATACATCTGAACTTGACCGGGTGTTTTCATACCGTAATAAGCTGTCCGGTTAACTCCATCAACTGCCATCATAACCGGCCTAACCGCTCCACCATATACTTGACCCGGAACGGGACCAGGAATCTGGTGATGCTGAGGTTGGTGATGGTATCCCATTGGTACATGATGGTATTGTGGGATATACTGACCCGGCATTTGAACCGGTTGAACCATATGATTACCCTGTTGAACCATATGATTGCCTTGTTGAACCATATGATTTCCCGGTTGAACTGAACCAGGAACGTAATAAACCGGTGACTGGTAATGAACCTGTGGACCAGGGGAGTATTGCCATTGCGAGTTAACCGGATGATTAGTCTGTTGAATTACTTGCTCCGGCTGAGGATCGGCTTTTGGAGTCGAAACCGGTTCTGGACTTTCCGGTTTAATTTGAACTGGTGGTAGTTCCGGTGTAGGTGACCGCATCACCGGAGCGGAGGAGGTAGAACCATACGGCGAAGGAATATCGCGACGAGGCGAACCAGGATCCGAGAGCGTCGAGACTTCTCGTCGGATCTTAGCTCTGGGGTCACGATCACGAAGCTCGTGCGGCGGAGCAGTCTCGTCGAAGTTATCCAATCCGAAGAGGTAATCAGGAACTTCGGAGACGATCGAGGAGACTTCAGATCTGACGCGGTCGATTCCTCTTCCGGAACCGCCGTTAGATGCGGCTGCTGCGGCGGAGGAGCCGAGATTGAGAGCGTCGAGGAACCATTGCTCTCGGTTGACGGAGCTATCGAGAAGAGAGCTGATGCTGCTGGCTCGACTATCGTTATCATCTTCTCCGGCGATGTTTTTGGTGAAGAGGAAGAGGCGGAGACGAGAGGAGCGTGGGTTTTGATTCTGTGCGATGCGGTCGTATTCGTCCATCATGTTCTCTACATCTTCGTCCGTTGATACGGAGATCAACGCGTCAAGATCTTCGTTTGGTAGCTGGTACTTCACGCTAATGTTGCTTTTACCTTATCCAAATAATCCAACGCAACAATCATAATAATTATTACCAATCAAATATCTAATAAATTTAATACTTTCCCGCAAAATTCCAAAGTTTTGTGGCCAGTAGATATCTGCCCAATTTCCAAGAGTTGATTTAAAAAGTCCAAAAAGCTACCAAATGTTTAATAACCCAAAACAAAATATTTTGATCCAATTTCGTTGTAGACTTTCTAGTGATCTGAATAACTTCCTCTAAATGAATATTTGGATCAAATTTCCCGGTTTGATAATTTTATTCCGGATCCCGAAATCCGAAATTATGTGCAAATTGATATGGTCGAAAACAAATCATACTTTTGGTAATCAATTTAATACTTTCCCGCAAAATTCCAGAATTGTGTGGCCAATAAACATCTGCCTAATTTCATAATATCAAAAAGCTGATAAAAATATCTAAAATATAAACCAATAGTATATATTCATCATATCTAAATTTTCCTAGTTAAGCAACAAGATTGATCTAATTCGTACGTATCGGGTATTAGAGTGATCTGCATATAAAACTTCTTCTAAAACTCATCTTTTACTTTAAAACGTATTAATCGTTGCATCAAATGTTCCTACTAAATAATTTTCAATACCGAAAACTCCAAATCCCTAATCAATTTTCAAAATCATGAAGTCAACCAGTTTTTCCAGAAACCGAACTCCCAAATTACAAAAGCAACAGGAACTATATGTTTGTTATGATTTGCTTACCGGAGAGTTTAGCGAGTTTACTGAGGAGAGAGGCGAAAGTAGTGTGGCGATGAACGGCGACCATACGATTGTCGCCGCCGACGTAACATAGCTGGTTATCGGGAGGACGAGGCAGGATCCTTCCTCCAAAAGTGCACATGAACCGTACACGTGGCTGATTATCGTACTCCGATCTCGGCGATGACGCCATTGAGTCGTTGTCCAGCTCCGGCGGAAGGATCGAAGCCATTTTGCCTCCCTCTCTCTCTCTCTCTCTCTCTCTCTCTCCTCTTGTCGCCGAGGATTTTGGTAACTTTGGGATTTTTGTTTTGATTCGATACAAACGACCATATAATTATTAAAGGTGAATGTTCGGGAAGAGATAGGTTAGAGAGACACGACTGTCATGGACCGCATTATCACAACATATTTTCGTTCCATCGCTTATTTATTTTTATTTTTTTGGTAAACATTGTCTCAATTTATCTCTAAAATATATAAAAAGTTTGATATTTTTGCCATTTTCTTAATCAAGTGTCAATAATGGAGGTCGGTAATTGATACGATCTGAATCTTTGCTTAAACTCAAATAAGAATCTTTTACCATTTTAATTTAACCACTACAACTAGTACACCGATCTGATAAAACATGTATTCATAAATTGTAAAATATTCATTAGATTATTAAGAAAATGATAAACAAAATAAAAAATGGTTAAGAATTTTGAAAAAAAGAATAGATAAAAGTTTATAATAATTTTAAAGTATCGAATAAAAACAAAATATTTATAAAATCTTATATAACAAAATACATGAAGTTACCTAGTTACATAGTATTTCAGTATGATTTTATCGATCTTTTTACATGAAGAAGATCAAATAATATATGAAAGGATTGTTTTCTTTTATGATCAATATAGATAGAGTATTTATCCAAAAAATATAGATATAGTAGATAAAAAAAAAAAGAGGCTTAGTGGGGCGGTCCATGGAAACAAATGGTTGTGATTCTATTTAATATGACAGACGCATCGTAGCCGTGAAAATAGCTATCAGCCAGAAATTGGTTGCTCTTAATCATTCACAATATTAGTTGACTCCCAAAAATAGTGAGAAACCGAGAATTATAACGAATATAAGATATGGCTTATAATATATATACTAACAAATATATTGTACGTTACGTATTAAATATATTTTCAATCGGACGTCAAAAATTTCGGGATTTTATTTTATTTGATTACTCTATATATATATATATATATATATATATATAAGTAGGAGTTCGTACCATATGACATTGAGCTGAGTTGGTTAATACGACGAACGATCAAATTTTATTAGCACTAATCATTATTTCTATAATTATTAATTGTGTGTCGCTGTAGGTTTTGGTGCAATTCAACTTCAGATGACGTTTAGCTCGACTACTTTAATAGATTAAGGAAAATAAGACATTGACCAAAGAAAAGCTAGGAGATGTTCTTTATGGTGTTGCTATTAGCCCGTTGGTGAATTTGTGTTTATATTGATATGACAGTGAAATTGTGACTCAAACGGTCAAATGGTCCGAGATTTGGTTTCCACAATTCAGCAATCTTTGCCCCAAATGTTGGGTACGGAGACACGGAAAGAAGATAATATAGCCATATAGGCTAGGACTTGGGGGTTAATTTGTTCGTTTCTTTATCTGTCATTTATTTAGATGTTTAATCTAAATGTTTCATCTAGATGTTGTTGGTTTTATTTTCAGTTGTTCATCTGAATGATTTATCTAACTATAACTTTGTTTGTTTGGTTAGTTTGCAGTTGGTTTTAATAAAAAAATAATTATATGAGTTTATCTATTATATTTTTAATCTATTTCATATTAGTTTTAATTTTGATCTAAAATATATTTATTAACCAGATAATTTTTTAATTTATTATCTTTTCATAAATTTGTTTAGTGACACAAATTAGAAAAATATAAATTAGATCCAAATTTGCATTTATAAATTGGTTTTGATCAACAATATCCAAAAAGTCAAAAAAAGAAAATGCATTAATTTGTCTTCTCCATAGCATGTATTTGATCATAAACATATGCTCATAAACCGAAACATCAATCATAAGCATTTATCAATCTTGAGTCTTGAGTTTTCACCATCGCATGAGTACAACATGTGCATTCATATACAGTTCATGATCACCATTAGATACTTGGGCTGCTTTTAGTAACTCTCTGTTACTGAGTTTAGATATCATCTATATTTAGCTGTTTGTCTTTTTCTTCATGTTATTTGCATCATGACTTATTTGACAAAGCTGAAACTATTGGACCTAGATGTCAAACTTGAGTATTTTCTCCATGTGCTGGTTAGATGCTCTTTGTTGACCGATTTGGAGATGCAAACTATAGCAAGTTTCAATGCACAAACATTGTGCAATCAATGAGTCCACTTTGCATGCATTTGTGGAAAGTTGGCAGCTTCAAAACTGTATATGAATGCAGATGATGTTGTACTCATGCGATGGTGAAAACTCAAGACTCAAGATTGATAAATGTTGATGGTTGATGCTTCTGATATGTAACAACAACATCAGTGCTATAAGAATGAAATGGCCGATCCTGTGAGTACAATGTAAGTCAAATAAGACGTCACTGATTCTGAATTGTTCAGGAATTTTACCTTCACCAAGCTTATATTTGGGAAAATTACTGAAATTTGTTGATTGAGCCAAATCAGATGTCATGATTAAGGATTGAACATCTTAGTCTTTGTAGCCTGTATCTACGAGGCTCTCAGTTACAAAAATCATCCAGGTTTTTCTGAACATAGATAATTTATGGAAATATACAGGGATTTAAAAAATTAAAAAGCCTAGATATATTTAGATTAATGGAGTTTACAGGAAGATTCTTAAGGTGAGTAATATTTTTGTGATAATTATGTGAATCTTGGTTTTCAACTTTTCAGAAGTTTTCTGATCATGCTTTTGTTGTTGTTTATATTAACAGCGACGTATAGTGAGTGACAAGATGTAATTTCAAGTTTGGTTTTTCAAGAATGCGAAGACCTCTCAGAGGTGTGAGGTTTTGTTTAGTTTTAGCTTTGTTAATTTCTAATTTGCAAGTTTCTTCAACTAATTTCATCATTGTAAATCTGATATGCAGGATCAAATTTATTTGTTTGTCTTGTGGCTAAGGGATGAAAACTGCTTCAGCCATATTTTGTTTCTCTAGCGGTTAAGGATGAAAGCAGTTTCAGGCAAATATAAAAACTAGTAAATAGTTCTTGTTCTTTTATTATATATATATATATATATATATTTATGGTAAATCATTCAATGTTTTTTTTTTAATTAATTTTTTTTCAATTTTGTAATAATTTGTTTGATTGTCTGTTTTTGTTTCAATTTATCTGAAAAGATCGTAAGAGGTATATTCGATAAAACTTATTATTTAGAATAAAAAAACACCAAACTCTCTCCTTGCGAAGGAGTCTTTCTTTTACTTTTGCTTTACTTGTCTTTAACTTACTCTACGTGAGCATTAGAGCACCCCTTTCGGTAAAATTTCTAAACTGGATATCTAAACTAAGTTATAATAATAATTTAATGAAATTTAATAATTGAATTATATATATATATATATATATATATTTATTTAAATTCTTATAGTTTCTCAAATAAGAAACAATTCTCTCTGTCAGCTCGAATCGAACAAGATGAAGGCCAACCTATGTGCGTGTGATGGTGGTGATGAGTATATATGATGATGTACATGAATGGATTGATACGCTTACACGATAGTTCGTATTATTATTATTACTAGGTAATAATCCGCACCCTATGTGGGATAAAATAATAATTATTTATTTAATATAGTACAATTTTAAAATCATATAACAAAATATAATTTATTTTATATGAATTGTTTATAACATTATGCTGTAATATTGATAAAATATTTTTTCTTGTTTATTTTATGAAATATAGGGTAATTTAATTCTAATGTAAATTAGATTAAAAATTAAATATCTATGCGCAATCTGGATAGAAATATGAAGTCGCTCTTTATATTTTCTATAACCAATGATTAATAATATGATGTTAAAATTCAAAACAAAATAGAGGGAGTATATTTTGATTAAATTATTAAGTATTTAATGCATTATGATAATAATAAAAAAAAATTACTACTTTCTCTGTTTCATAATTTTTTTTTAAGGTTTTATATTGTTTCACAATATATTTGTTTTTATTTTTTTACTACTTCCTATGAATACTATGTGACCGATTATATTTTTCAGTTTTTTATAATTAATTGAATTATATTTAATTTATATACTAAATGATTATTTTTTAAAAAGAAAAGTTGCTTTTAATCTTTGTGCTTTGATGCAAAACAATTTATATTTTGAAATAGAGAGTATTAAAATTGTAAAAATAAAATTTGATTATAAGATTCTATAAACGATTTTAATATTTTTTTTACAAATGTAAATGCATATTTAGATTAATCCGCAAAAACCATAGTCATAAGAATATTAACTTTTAAGAAAAGAAAATTACTGTGAAATTTATTTTAAATACTAAATATACATAAGGATTATATAAAAATAGATTATATTTTTATTATTTTAATACATTATCTAAAATTATATATAAATGAGTCAATACTTATACATTCTTAACTTTTTGATTCAATAAAAATATTTTTAATATCAAAAAGTTTAATAAAATTATTATATAATATCTTTACAAAAATATTTTAATTTTTTACTAAGTTATTTTGTTGTATAAATTAAAAATTTATGATATTTAACTTTTTAATCAAATAAAATATTTATAATATTATATTCTATTAAGATATTCAACTACTTTTTTATAGTTGAACTTTTTATTAATATTTTATACTTATTATAAAGTTTAAATATTTATATTATTTGGTTAATTTATATGGTTCTAAAACCATATGAAACCAAAAATAATTATAATAATAATATCTATTGAATTAAGCTTTCTATTTTTTTTTATCATCTATGTATTTTTTATATTAATTTATGAATCATCTATCTACATACTTATTTTCAATTTTAGTCTTTCAAAACATACTTTTATTTATTAATTATTTGAGTAATTTATATTTTTTTTATGAAATTCAAATTATAACACTATATATATATTATTTTACTATATGAATGATGTGATAGTTTATTTTTCTACAAAAATAAAAGATAAAATATAGTATTTAAAGAAATAATT